GGAAGGCTGTTCCTTTCTGAGTCAATGCTCCCAGGATTAGCTAAGCAGACTCAGGCTATGTATACATTCCATTTAATCTGCATTCAATGTGCTTCCACCGCTGGCTTAGGAAGGGGTGAACACACTGCATCAGCTACTATCCACATATATGCTGTCATTTATTAGGAAACGCTGGGTTTTGATGCATTTCCCTGCAAACCAGCATTGATCCAAATGAGAAAAATAATGACCCAGCTGTTTTAATTCAGTAATGCGGACACAGCCTTAGTGGCATAGGGCTGTGTTCATGCAACAACAGTCATAAGGAGCAAAGGCCATACATGCAGCCAACTAAACTTGCCACATTCTGCAAAGTTTCAAGCAAGCAAGCATTATGTGTAGATACTGCTGGACTTTCTGTTGAAACAGGCACACACACACAATTCACAAAATTCCCCGCTTATTATCATATTAAAATCCTGATAACTTGCTCAATTTTTATGAAAGATTGTAAGCCATTTTTAAAGCCTGCCTTTTCCTTTCAGCCTTTCGCTTGACCCCCAAGGCTGAAATCCTATATACATTTTTGGGAATAAGCTCAAACCTTATTCAAAGCAGTTTACTTCTGCATAGAGGTATAAGATTTCAGTGTTAGTCTCATGCTCAGCTGAAACACACGGCCCAATCCCATGCAGGACCATTCAAAAATAGGCTCCATTGTGTTCAGTTGGGCATATACTCTTTAGGGTAAGAGCCAAAGGCGCATACTGTATGTGTAATTGTATTTCATGCTCTGTGGATTTCATATGCAGCAGAATAGGAGGTGCTAACACGGAGCATACCACTTCAGAGTGGAAGTAGGGGATGCTATTTTTAAATGTCCCCCCACCTCTCTATATATTTAAAAATCCTGCAAGTAAAAAACTAGCAGAAAGGTTCTAGTTCACATCCTGTGTCAATTTTCTTCTTGCGGTGAGCTTTGTGAGAGTTTTTTCCCCACACAAAGGAATATTCAAAATGCCATCTCCCCTAGCTTGGTCTGAAGTGGCACAGTCCATTCTACCAACACCAACACCAAAACAACAACACCCCCTTGATCTGCTGCATACACAACCTCTGTGGTAAAGAGAACAACCCACTGGTGAGCAGTTGGTTAAGCTTATTCTGTAGAATCAGCTGGTGCAGCTCCAACTGGGCTTACCAAAGCCCAATTTCCTGCCATGCAAAAATATCCTTCGAGAGCAATAGGAATCTAGTCAACAGTTTCCACATTATATGTGCGCACACATGGCATAAAAGAGATGACTACTGCTTGGCTCAAGACAACTGCCCCATTCTTTTTTTGCCGAGGTGAACAATCCAAGGCAGGACTTCTGTTTCTGGCACTGGGACTCTGCAGACACCGATTAGGTTCTGTCTCCATAAATAAAGAACATAAACCTCAGCAATTTTTCTCCCGACATTCTGGTTGAACAATTTTTCACTGTTGAAGGAATAATGATGCCATGGTGAAAAACAGTCAACATGGCTTATGTAAGGGGGAAGAAGTCATGCTTCAACCTATTGGAACTATCTGGAGGCTGTCAACAGGCATACAGATCCTGGTGGCCCATTGAATAAAGTGTCAATAGCTTTTTAAAATTATTCTTTAAGCTTTGTATTTAGTTTCTTACCCAAGGCCCCAGTGGTGATACAGTAGGATACCTGCCATTGAATGGAACGTCAAAGCCTCTTTTTGGTTTGGAAGCGACAGGAAATAAAGGGCAGGAATAAATGCAGTGAAACGAACTGGGCACTCAAGGCTGAATACTAGCACAATTTATTTAAAACTGATAATCTAGAGCTCTGGTCTTCAGCAGGTGGGTTGGGAGAAGATGAAGAAGAGTTTGGATTTGATATCCCGCTTTATCACTACCCTAAGGGGTCTCAAAGCGGCTAACATTCTCCTTTCCCTTCCTCCCCCACAACAAAACACTCTGTGAGCTGAGTGAGGCTGAGAGACTTCAGAGAAGTGTGACTGGCCCAAGGTCACCCAGCAGCTGCATGTGGAGGAGCGGAGACGCGAACCCGGTTCCCCAGATTATGAGTCCACCGCTCTTAACCACTACACCACACTGGCTGTGGGAGCCGCTAGTGAGTCATGGAATGACCCGAGGTGGGGAACAACAGAAGCTTTTCCGCCATGCAAATATATGGTAAAATATTAAGAAATGGATCTCCAAATACATGTGGGTACAGGGTCTAAAAAGGTTGGAGACTACTGATCTAGAAGCAGGGTAAATAGGTAAAGCTTGCAGGAGGATATATTGTTTGCAGATGATGCAGCCTTGACAGCAGACTCCAAGGAAGCTCTACAGAGACTCACCAACTGTTTTGCCCAAGCCTGCATGGAGTTCAGCCTGATGAAGACCAACATAGTGGGTCAGGACATCACCAGCACTCCACACATCAGCACTGAGGAACCTTTCCTTGGGCAAGCATATTGGTAAGGCAGTCATAGCAATGGCTCACCTCTCCAAAAGGAGATGGTCCAAGATGAAGGAGTGCCAGGCTTGTGTGCTGAGCACGCTGCTTTATGGAAGTCATGGGTAACTTACAACCGCCAGGAGCAAAGCCTCAATGCCTTCCATATGTACCGTGTCAGGAAGATTTGGGGCATCACATAGCAGGACAGAGTCTGAAACAAAGGTGTGCTCTCTCAAGTCTGGCTTCAGGCACCAGGCCCATTGGCAGACCAACTCTGTGTTCTAAAGATGTCTGCAAACATTACATGAAGGCTGGCAGCATTAACTATGCTGTGTGGAAATCCCTTGCAGACAGCCGCAGTGCCTGGAGACAGCCAGGTCATGTATCCATGAGAAACTGGGAGGAGCACAGAGAGAAGAAATGCCACGGTGTATCTGGACACCTCCATCTGCCCCAGCTGGAATAAAACATGTCTCTCCCGTATCGGTCTCTACAGCCACAGCAGGCACTGTAACTCTCCAATGGTTTACTCTACCCCCAATGGCGCACTCTTCCCTCGTCTCTCAAGACAGATGGATGCCAACAACAACAGCAGCACAAGGAGGAAGGCATAAAAGATGAAATAGTGCCGAAACCTCAACGAAGCAATGAAAAGTACAGAGGCTCAAATAATGCTAAAATTGAAACTTTATCAATGGCATAATCCTTATAAAATACTGAAATCTCTCTGGGAAGATGTTGGTTTCCTAGAAGAACAGTGACAGAACTGAAGGTTGTCTTTAGCTAAAGCACATTGGGCATTTCAAGAGGGTTTTCTTTCATAGCACCATATTGAAGGTTTGCTTTTCTTTGTGCCTTTAGGCTTGCACAGAACAACGTATTTCAGAGCAATAAAATCCAACGTATTTCAGAGCAATAAAATCCATAGGAGATTGTAAAGAGTTCCATAAACTTCCCTCCACAAGCTGCTTAGTCAATGTGGTTCCATATTAATGTTTGCTGAGGTAACTATGGCACAATTTATGTGACCAGTCAACACCCCATCAGCCATGCCTGACAATTAAGAGTAAAATTGACTCTTGGCAGACTAGCTTGGTCATTCATACACCAGCCAGGTAACAGATAGCTACTTCTATTGTTAAATAAATATTGCCTGCAACACTAGAGAGAGATTTTAGAGCAATGTGATAATAGTTTTATTTGAAAGCCATCTGAATTAATTTTGTGCTGGTTCAATAGGTCCTTTTTGTTAATTGGAAGTCACCTCGGGGTTTGATCCAAAAGTAGCCTATAATGAAAATTAGTATAAATACACTCTGATTAGCAGCTGCTTTTTTCTACAAGCATAGGAAAAAGCAATTAATTTGTCTTATGGTGACTATCTGATCAGACTTCAAGCTGCCCACACATTTACTTCTTCCCAGGGAAGTAGATCAATTATTATTTAAGGATTTGGGGGCAATACACACTACCAATATGGACCTTTAGTGCCATCTACTGTGCAGTCAAGAAAGTATTATACATACATTATTCTAGACATACAAAAAACCCTTAGCAATCTGATTTGTACAAGCAGTCCCCCTTTAATTTTGTTCAGCATTTATGTTCACCTACATGTTTTTTCACATCTCAGATTTTCACCACAGATATTAATTTTGTCCTTCCTTTTCCAAAATAACAGAGAAATATATTTTTTTTTAAACAACAACAACAAAATGATTCTCCTGTCAAGTAAAGAAAAGCCTATATGTGCATTTAGTTAATTTATAAAGTTACTTCTTATGGCACATATGCACACATCTCCTGGAAGTGTTTTTAGTATCACTAATGGAAAAGACAGACTTTGACCCCAGTCCAGAGCTAGTTAGCTTTTCTAACTCCTGCTGAGTTCAATGGGATGTTATTGCCAAGTAAATGTGTATAGCATAAATCAGTGGCGTAGCGTGGGTTGCCAGGGCCCGGGGCCACATGGACGGGGGGGGGGGGTAGGGAAATGAACAGAGTATGCATGCACATTCAACTGTCTAATAGCGTCACCCAGGAGATCACAGCTATAGATAAGAAGGGTCCTTCCATTGTCTGGAGAGGTCACTTCCTGGTTTGCATGGAGCTGTTTTCAACGACATGCGACTCCTGGAGGACCGGCCAGCACTCAACGTAGCCCTTGGCTAAAAAAAAAAAAAATGTAGCCACCCCTGTTTGATTTCAATAGGACATGTAGCCCAAAAAGCCCAGTTAGCCATGACTAACTGAAGGCCATGGCTAGCCTGAGGACATGAGGAAGATGTCTCAGGCGGCAGATGTTGAGGGGCAGGCAGTGGTGGTGAGGCAAGGACAGAGTTGCCTCTGCCATAAAGGTTTTCCTGCACCCGCTAAACTAGCTTAGTGCCCTCAGGTGCAATAGAGGCAGCTAGTACTGAAGTAATATTCAACTGCCAACCTGGTTAGTTTCTGTAGCCAGAACATCTTATTCTTTTATCTGAAGCAGCGAGAAGCCTTGAGCAAGCCTTGCTGAAGCCCCTTTATGTTCAAAAAGGACCTGAACCACAACAACCTCTCTTTAGATCAGGGCCAGTTTATTTCCTAATACATAAAAGCAGACATTACTATCCACAATGAATACTAGGCATTTTAAAACACAATCTTAAGCACAGTCAGTTGAAAGAAAGCCCCACCAAGTTCACCAGTGGGACCGAGTTCACCAGACTGCAGCCTGAGTTTTACTTTTGAGGCCATCGTGACTTCCAACAAATAGAAAGAAGGCAACAGTTGTCGAGGAGGGACGTCTCTTCCTCTCCTTTTTTCCCAGAAGTTAACATTTTTCAGACATTCCCATTTTTAAAAATGAAACTGGAAAGAAGTATTTAAAAATACAAAAAGGATTTAGAACACAGGTTAAAAGGGGAAACGAGGCACATGGGGATATTAGTAAAAGTAAAAATAGTCTCTCCCTTGACTATGATTAGGCAAACTTGCAGCGTTGATCCACCAGGCTTGCGTCACACCAGATTTTACCGTTCTGGAGTCTCCCCAACAGTTTCTTTAATGCCCTCGACCCCAGCTTCTATGATTCAAACTATAAAAAGTGGTCATAGGTTTCCATGTAGCTCTGTTGATATCCGTATTGTAACTCCCTGGAACAAAAAGAAAAGGAGAATAACCAGTCACTACAAAGTACCGGCTGCACATGTGTTATACAGTAGACAGGCATGTAGGCAGAAAAGTGACAAAATATTTGGCATTAGTAGAAAAATATTCATTTCATCTAGTATTTGAAGAGAGCTGGGGCCCCAATCTTAAATATAATTTAAATTCAGGCAAAGCTAATAAAATCGACCTCATCCCAAAACAGACTGGCTACAACCCAAAGTCATGCATACGTGTATCTATGGTGAACAGATTTTTTTTTTTAAAAAAAATAATGCACCTGTCTACTGCCAGAATTGGCAACTAAAGGCTGGGTACGGGCAGTAGTTTTTCAGAAACTCGAATGTGTCTGAAACTGCAGTTTTTTCCAGTTCAGAATTAATGGCCAAAATTATCCCCACTGCTGAAACCACCACTTTCAGGGACAAATAGGGGCCATGCAGAAATGATAAGAGGGCCTTTTGGTTCAGGCTGTGGAATTCCCTTCCACTAGAGCTATGCTCATCCCCCTTGTTGACATATTTTTGTCACTGAAAACACAGCTGCTCTGTTCAAAATAGGAGGGTTAACAAGGTTATTGGGCTGTTTGTTCTGTGCCAATGTATTCTGCTGATGATCATTATTGTGAATTTATTGCTCTGTTCTATTTTGCATTTTAGCACTAATAACCATTGTTGAAGGGCATCTATGAACAACAAGAACAACAAGAGCAGCTGCAGCAGGTGGATTTTTGGCAGCCTACTGGCACGGTCCCTTGATCAAGATTTAGTGTGCATTCTGGAGCATGCGCCTCCATGGCTGCTTTTTCTTAAGAACAGAAATGACGTTTAAAGCAATATGCTTATGGCAATGTACAGTTTGGCCCTCAGACTCTGAAGCCCTTTTGCTCTGTACATGAAACCTTTTGTTCTGCCATACCCACCTGAAAATCTCCGATGAAAGTTAAGAAGAAGAAAACAAAACTGAAGGCTACTACCCATTCGCAGATTGCACTCACAAAATGAAACACATAATCCTAATGGAAAGGAGAAATAAAAAGTAATTCTAAACACCAAACATGGCAAACAGAAGGCAAGTCAGACAGGCAGATACCAATTAATGTATACACCAGGAACACAAAGAAGATGCCTATTTTTATTTTGGAGAAATACATTTTGTATTTATTTTTTTATATAAAAAAATTAAACTCCTTAGAACAATTACATTGGAGACACTGAGGTTCACATTTCCTTGTTAATCATTCCGAAATTTTGAATTATTTTATTACAGTTTTCTCTCTCTTTCTTTGATGGGTATTGCTTTTAAGACTTTTTTACCGTCTTGTAAGAAAAGCTGTTTAAAAATAATAATAATCTAGATTTTCAAGATAGCCTATTGGTCACTTGTTCAGTATTTTGCCATTTTAAGATTTTGAAGTTTTATGATGTTCTTAATTATTTTACTGCATTCCGCCTTGATATTTTTTTGACCTGGCTGTTTACAAATATTCAAATAAATAAAGCCTCTCATGCCTCAGGATACAAACATATTGTTAAAAAGAATCATTAGGGATTATTTTCACCCATTTACACTCTGTAGCAAGATTGTGTAGCAAGGTACATTCTCCCGCACCCCCCTTTATTTTATTTTTATTTTATGAGATTCATAAGGCACGTGCTCCCTCTTGTGGTATATCATACCCACAAAAATACTTGCAGAAATTCAGAATTTCCAGTGAGGTTAAGTCTGTTGCTGCAGGAAAAACAGAGTGCCTTGTTGCTCCTTAAAGACTAACAAATGTATTAAGGCAGACGTTTTAATGGACTAAAGCCTGTTTCTTTAGATGCATGAAGACAGTGAGGGAGGCAGACAAATGAATCATCTGGTCCACTCTAGTCAAGACTGTTCCCCTCACTGCAGCCAATTTTCTTTTATTTTTTTTCTTTTGGTATTTTAAAATTGTAAACCTCCCCTCTGGATGCCTCAGCAAAAAGGCTGCCTATAAATGCAGCAAATAAGTGTTATCCTCAGCAGGTAAGTGCATATATATGGGTGCATAAGCAGAAATTTGTAGGCAAGCACAATCACAATTAAATAAATGATGCTGGCATCTATCTGCCTTGGGAGACAGTGGAGGATTGAAGCTTTGGGGGTGAGGTCAAGCTGTTGGAAGGTTGTAGTGCCTACTGTGGCTGTAGAGACCGAAGCAAGAGACACATTTGCAGCTGAAGGCGTCTGAATTTAGTGCACATCTCCTAAATTTAGTACGTATCCGCCTAAAGGTAGGATAGGGCTGATTATGCAAACTCCTTCATTTATACCACTTCAAACCCCGTGCACAGCCTCCAAAACCCAAATGTGTAGCTTCTCACCCCCTGATTCCTACGCAGATGTTGTCACTGAACCATTTCATTCCCAAACTGAAATAGGGCTGCAGCAGCTATAGGAACCATTAAACCTTAAATGAACACTATGTTGTACCAGGAAGGTGGAGCGTCTCCACCCCCATCGTTCAGCCCAGACACTGAGGTCCAGCTCCAAGGGCCTTCAGGTGGTTCCCTCACTGCGAGAAGTGAGGTTACAGGGAACCCGGCAGAGGGCCTTCTCGGTGGTGACGCCATGTGGAATGCTCTCCCACCAGATGTCAAGGAAATAAGCAACTATCTGACTTTTGGAAGACATATGTAGGCAGCCCTGTTTGGGGAAGTTTTAAATGTTTGATGTTTTATTCTGTTTCAATATTTTGTTGGGAGCCACCCAGAGTGGCTGGGGAAACCCAGCCAGATGGCCAGGGTATAAATATTTTTTTATTATTTTTATTATTATTATTATTATTTGCTTCACTCATTCTGACCCCAAGTGTAAGGAGCCTGCTCGCAGCAAGGAGAGGAGCATTACTGCTTCCCCAAACACAAAGGCGAAAAGTCTGCTTTTTGCTTGCTGCGCTTGATGATACAAAAGGAGATTCTGACAGCTCTGGCCACCCAGTGGAATGAGTGAATAAAATGGGGCAGAGGTAAGTAACAGTGTATGCCCTGCAATGCCCTTTTTTTTGCGGGGAGAATATGTGTCTCCCCCTCTGTATCCTGATGTTGGCACACCTATGCATTCTCAGTGCTAACTTAGAAAGAAAGCTCATCTTGTTCTCAATTTACCTATCACCAACGTTAAACACGCTTAGATGTTAAAAGGTACGTACATTCTTTTGCATTATATTAAATATCCCGAAACAATATGGCAGCTTTTATAACCATGGCTATCTATGTAAATGCAAAATGGTTCTTAGCCTTGCACAACTTAGCTTAGTCTGTGCAGCTTCAAACTTATCAAAGTTAAGTCCTTTGTTGTCTACTTTTGCCTGTCTTAATTTGAAAGTATTGAACAACCAAACAAAATGGAAAAACGATTATATATTTTTACTTAGTACGAATTTACCTTTTCACCTGGATTCCACTCAATCTTTGTTATGGAAACTAGTGAAGCACACGCAATCACTGGAGGAGGAGGTGTTAAAGGGAAACAACCGATTTAAAATGTAATGCTATTTTTGGCTTGTAATGCAGCAATACGTAATTATTCACACAGAGGAATGGAACAGTCAGCGGGAGCCAGCACACAAACATACACAAACTTCCACAGACAATTGCAAGAAGCATGACACACGTCTCATTTTAGAATTTATACAGCCACAAATATTTGGTGCATGGTCATGTAACAAAGTTCACCAAACAGGAAAGCAGATGAAGTTAGCATCCGGTTTAGATTTTAAATGCCTAAATGTTTTTTTTCCCCCTCTGGTCACAGACTTTTTATTTCAATGATAGGACCTTTGATTGATTGATTTTTTTAAAAAAAAATGTTTAAAAGTTCTCCAAAATGCTATGAACTGTAGGTTGGCAAATCACAGTCACTTCAGGAACTTTTATTACCATCAAATCTCAGAGTAGCCACACATGCAATTCTGTCCTCAGAACTGTTTTGGAATAAGGACTTATCCACACTTCCTCTTCCCTGGGGAAAACTTGCTCTTTACTGCTGAATCGGAGCAAATGTCAGCTGGGTTTCCCACAGATTGCTACTGGTTCTGATTTATTGCTAAAGAGCGGGGTTTCCAAGGGAAAGCAGCAGGGCAAAGGCAAAACCGCTTGCAATCTATGGCCTGATGACCTTGGTGATTCTCAGTAGTCTTGTTATTTTACTCTCATGGTTGGTACCTCTGATCTCTACTTGCTGTGACTGCATAACTTCATCCCTGGATAATAACCAACACGAGCAAACAGCCCTTGATCATCCAGGAATTCTTTTCCTTATTTTATCGCCAACCATGCTTTTGAGTGCAACCAAGCTTTCACAAACCCTTAGGTCATATAATCGAATCACGAGAAGGAAACAAATTCAAAGGGCCAATGCCTCAGAACCGATGATCACGTAAACAAGACCCTAACTCCAACTCTCAACGTTACTTAAATTTTATGGCTGCAATCGTCAAATCGTTCCATTCTTAGTAGCCTGCTAAGCCTCAATAATAGAAGATCTAGAGAATAGCAGAATGAGCATGTTACTTTCAGTGAAGGCATTTCAAATAACTGAATGCAATAGGAATGGGTTGTTGTTAAGGTAGATTATTTAAACAGGCAGAGTGACATACTGAAAAGGATACTGGGAATGATAGCTACCCAAGTCATTACACAGAAGAACAGCCTTGTGTGACATGCACACAAACTGCTCCATTGTGGATGCGACTTGTAAGAGATTACAGTCTGAAGCACAATGTACAGAGCGCCAGACATAAAAGCTAAAAGAGCACCTCCATCGTGGACAGCAGGAACTGCTAGCTCCTGAAAAGACAATTGGAAAAGCATTATCTACTATTGCAATTGCAATTTCGCTAATAAACACAAAAAGGAGACTGATACTGCAGCAAATACGCAGAGGGTAAACACAAGAAGACAGACTGGATTTGTCAATATCTCCGCAGATGAGACTGAAAAGAAACCATGAAACTTTGATGCATTGTGCATTCCTGTTCTCAGAATTTTCCATATGGTTCCAGGACAGTCAAAACTGCACAGAAGAGCTGTGATGCTTTATGGTTTACACACGTTATTCTTTGTTCTCTCCTTTTTTGTTATGCTTGCACTTCTTTTTCAACCAATCAATTAAATGATAGGGGAGAACCACCACATAGAAAAGCAAAGTGACCTTGTTTTCTGTCATGCTTATTTTGTGCAACCAATAATTATTTTCTGCAGAATATCCACAGTTCTGTGATCAAGATCCTGGCTTCAGAATCGAAGGGTGAGATTTTGGTTCTTGTTATTTGCTAGTTGGCCTTGAACAATCTGCTTAACCTTGCTTGACTTTGGCATCTGCACATGAAGTTAATTACCTCATTCACTCTTCTCATATCTTATGCTACAAATTCTTGCAAAACCTAAGGCACGGGGCACAGCTTCTAAATATATAGAAGGAAATGTCACAATGTGAAGGGTTAAGGACAATTCGACTTGTCCACTTGCTAATTCCGCACAGCAGTGCATTAATAATCATGGGAAGGCATGAAACTAGCAACACAGATTTAAACAAAACAATCAAGCAATGGAATTTTGTCTTTGTTTAGCAGCTAGCTACTCTGAACAGGTATCTGGACACAGGAGTGGGCTGGAGGAGGGCTGAAGCCATCAACATGTGTGTTAAATGGCTGCCAGGTATATAATAAATTGTTTCTAAAATGCCTTCTCTCATTTATTTCCATACCATCATTTGATGCCATTAGATCTTCCAAAGGAACATTGTTGGGAGAACCACATTTTTTTGTGGTTGTTGACTATCTGTAATAGTGACAGACACCTGGAATTATCTGCCCTGCACTCCTTCAATGGCCACCACGTGCCTGTCATTCAGTAAACCAAGAAACAGTCTTTAGGAGGACTTTGACCTCTGGATGAGAGAGTCATTGCATTGCTCCATGCAGTATTAGTTCCAGTTCTTGGTTGCTGATTTGCCCATAGGTTTTGTTTTTGTTTTTTTAAGGACAGGCTTTAGAATGGGATATATATATATGGTATTCTTAACTACTTGTAGGCCAGATGAAGGAGAAGCAAAATATCAATTGAGGAAAGACAGACAGAAAGAGAAATTTTATTTGGGCCTACCTGAAAGCTTGCAACGATGCCCATTCCAACACAACCTATCCATCCAACAAAGAGTGATAGTAAATTGAAACAGGGGGAAACGAAACGTGTCACTTCATTTTGCTCCTTGACAATTAGGTATCTTGCATACATCGTAACTGCACCTTTTTTTGGAAAAAAGACAAAAATGCAAGTTATTAAGAAATTGGGGCTAAAAGAAAATCATTCAACCCACTTTGATCTGATCCCAACAACACAAGAGAAGAAAGATTCTCCATCCTATTCAGATAGTTTATATGCTATAAAGCTCTTCTGCGCAACACAGTGAGCAAAAGATGGAGGCCTCAAATAATGCTTTTCATTCATTTTAGTTCCCAACATTCTGTCCCATTCTGGAACAACCAAGAGCAGAACCTTGGGCGGGGAACACAGGTGACGGGCAGAAGTTATACAGATTTGATGATCAAATGATTGGGACAACCTGAGCTCGCAGCTAAGCTTGCTCCTCGGCCCCAGGGATGCACCCCTTTAATTTCTTCCATGTGCAAAAACAGTTGCTAAGCCACCCTGTGGAAAAATGTAAGATACCGATTTATTAAAAGATGTATATTCCATTACAGTGGTACCTCGGGTTACATACGCTTCAGGTTACATACGCTTCAGGTCACAGACTCCGCTAACCCAGAAATAGTGCTTCAGGTTAAGAACTTGCAATGCAGGATGAAACAATACAGCTACTTAAAAAACCTAAACAAATTACTAGAACTCAAAGGACCAAAGTCTGACTCGTGCAGGATCCATGCAATTCACAGTTCTAAACTCTGACTTTTGCAAAACGGTACTTCAGAAAGGGATAGTGCTTGGTCTTAACCTTTCTCCATCCCCTCTCCAACATAGGCATTTCTTGGAAATTTGTCACAGAAAGCCTACTTCCCTTCCTAATGTCTCTGAATGCCAGAATTCAGAAACTACCCTGGATTAAAATTTATAAAGCTAACATTGATGATAAAATTCACTTTAAGACTACTGGGTTTGGGCTGACTTCTAGCGGCCAATGCCACATAAATCCAGAGCAGAGAGAATGCTGCATTTTTTGTGGTTTTTCCTATCTGAAAATATGTGCCCATTTTACAGGTAATCATTTTTACCCAGTCAAGTCTTAGGATGAGACAGACTAGAAATTTTAAATTAAAAATGTAACAATAGACACATACATACATACCTAGGAATGCGGAAATGTTAATCATAAATCCAAAAATACCACTTTCTGGAGGTTTTGCTCCTGTATCACTAAAAAAACAAAAACATGCAGTTGTAATATACAAGGAACACATTTAAATCTAACTGAAATAATAATGACAGTCGCTTTTGCTGCATTTTTACTGGGAAGGTTTATTAAATACCATGTAATATCCATACTCCTTTAGAAGAAGAAAAAAGAAAAACAGCTTTGCTAATCAAGTCAAAGAAACATTAACCAACATTACACTGAAGTCAATGAAACATGTCTAAAAATAAGTAAGTGAGTAACACCTTGAACATAACCACATTTATTTAGAAGAAAGTTCCATTGACTTCAGTTTCAGATTTACCACCAGATCTGTATGCTCAGGTTTGCAAACTTGCAGCCTGATTCTATACACATATATTTTGGAAGCAAGTTCAATTTTGTTCCATGAAAAGTTGCTCTGGTGCACACTAATTAAAGTAGAATACTCCCAGTATCTCTGAGGTGCATTTGTATTAATAAGCAAGTCCCTTTTTATTTGAATTTCTGCAGGCAGGGGTAGTGACTCATTTTCCCTTTGTTTCAAAATCTGTTCTTGCCAGTGTAGATCCTTTAAAAAACCACACACCAAAAACCAATCAATTTTATCAGGTTATAATCTAGAGATAGGAATACAGCCATTCAAATGAGTGGGCTGCTGATATACTATTATCATCAGTGTTATATACTGAAGATGTTCACCCACAACTTAACAATCAGCATAGCTAACAGCCCAACAGATTGATAATTCCATCAGTGCTGAGACACTTATCAACTGTGAATGGTGTAAGACTGTGTGAGAGAGGAATGAACTGTCTTCCACTCCACCAAACACATAATTGGTGGTGGTGTCCAAACTGACAGTGCCTGAACTCCCAGTCGTGCTGGGACTTCATTTACATTTCCTGATTCATTGCTGCAAATTCCAAATTTGGTCCATAGTCCTTGAAGCAAATATCTGAACCTGGAAAACAAGCATGCTGCATCCTTATGAATGTGTGATTTTAAATTTAGCAAGAGATATGCAAATAGGAATCAGCCTGAATGTGTGTGCTGGTCTTACTGCACAATCTTTCTATAGCATTCTGCAGTTTACTTTATCTGATTGATTGCTAAGCAAGCCAACTTCAAACAAAGTTGGTTTGTTTAACTCACTAAAACTAGGATTCCTGGTTTCTCTGCAGTGCTAAGCATGGGATTCTTTGAAACTGAAAGTAAACTTTGCAGAAAGTAAACTCCTTGTCGGTGCCAACCATCAGCTGGGTTCCCCATACAGTACTTTATTTATTCATCTTTTAGAAACACCCTTACTTTTATTTTAATCCGCAGGATTTTAAAAAAAGTGTTGAGAGTCACAAATTAATTGTAAATTAGCTCTAAGTAACTTGGTAGACAGCAGAAAACTCATGTCCCAAGTGACTCACTTGGGACAAATCTGAAGTACTTCTTCAATTAGAGACTGGCCTATACTACCTAAATAGTAAACTGAACTGCAATCACTTCAAAGTCTTTGAAGAGCATTAGGTAAGATGAGAATGGAATTTGCACGTGACCAATGTGCAATTTGAATTTCTTCTTGGAACACTTAATGGTTTAAGAGCATCACAAGTAATTAAAATTGCATTGAATGCCATTCATTTTTATTTAAACCTTTAAAAATTGGGTTTATGCATGAATTACAGCGTTTGAAAGATTGTCATTAAATAACATCTATAATGTGACTACATTTTAACTATGCTGTGAATTGTGCCTCAATGACAAAACAGTGAGGAAGCAGAAACATAAACATTTAACTTAGAAAAACTGCGTCCGGGTAACCAGTAATAAGACACTCTGGTTCTATTATTTTAGGCCCGTGGTTTTCAACCAGTGTGCTGTGGCACCCTGGGGTGGCTTGAATGATGGTCAGGGGTGCCACAGGCAACACTGGCCTCTGTCCCTCTTTCCTCCTCTCCCACCTCTGGTTAAACCACAGAGCCTAGGACTTGCCAATCAGAAGGTCCGTGGTTCGAATCCCCGCCACGGGGTGAGCTCCCGTTGCTCGGTCCCAGTTCCTGCCAACCTAGCAGTTCGAAAGCACGTCAAAGTGCAAGTAGATAAATAGGTACCACTCCAGCGGGAAGGTAAACAGCGTTTCCCTGCGCTGCTCTGGTTCGCCAGAAGCGGCTTAGTCATGCTGTCCACATGACCCGGAAGCTGTACGCCGGCTCCCTCAGCCAATAAAGCGAGATGAGCGCCACAACCCCAGAGTCAGCCACGACTGGACCTAATAGTCAGGGGTCCCTTTACCCTTTACCTTTTTAAAAAGCAATATAACAAAAGTTTTGGTCAGAAGTCAGTTTCCACTGTGTTAAGGGGAGACACAACCAAACAAAAATAGTTGTTCTGAAAAGCTTAACTCTGAGGCAGGTTTTTTTTTTTAAAAAAAGGCTTGAAATTAAGGTTAAACAAAGGTAAAGCACTACAAAGAAAAGTTATGGTCAGCTTTGCTTTTGTTCATTTATTTGTCTCAGATTGTAGGGTCATGATGAGCCAACAGATTGATCATTCAGTTCATGCAGCACCCAGAAGCTGCACTTTCCATTCTACCCTCATCTTTTAAAGTTTTAAGATCAACTCAAAGCATGTGTATTCTACTCTCTCAGGCCTAGCATGAGAGACACAGCAGAACAAGGAAGGATTTTATTTTTAATTTTTTTTTGCACTTTCATGTGCTTACATACTGATTGGTTCAGCATTATATCAGCCATAAAGACAATGAAAGATACTCCCGGGTTTCCATAACCAGCACGGTCATGAGAAAAAAAGAAAGCGTGTACAATTTTATTGAAAAATTATTGGAAAAAATAGGCAATAACCTTATATTTGAAAATATGCGTCCGGGAATTAGTCATGTTGCCAAGGGGCCATACCACAGAAACCAAAAACTTTCTACTAAATATAAATTGCACAGAGGAAATCCCGTATCTGCATATGATTACATGTCTGACTCTCTCTCTCTGTTTGTGTGTCATCTCACTAGATGCTGTTAAGTAGTACAGTAACCAATGATGCCCAGGGAAACTATCCAAGTTTCTTTCTTCCAGTGGAGACCAACTTTACGGCAGGGTCAGTTTCCTTAGCAGCAGAATGGCAACCGCTGCGCCATAGGAATACAAAACATTTCCCTTAAGCTTAAGTGTGTTTGAATACACCCTCTTAGAATCATAGAATTGTAGTGTTGGAAGAGACCCCCCTCCCCGAGGGTCATCTAACAATAAGCAAGGTTGCTATTTTCCTTGACAAAAGGTCTGTGGCTTTCATAGCTGCAAGCCAGGAAGAAAGTCAAGTGCTTGCTGTACTGGTAACAGAGGAAAGACTGGGAAAGCTTCAGTTTTGTGTTTCTGCAAATCTTGCAGATGCCATGCACAGAACCCACATAGATGGGATAATTTCACAAAGTCAAGTGCTGTTTTCCCCACCACAAGTTCAAGTCCCAACAAATTCAGTGGGACTTGGGTTGCAATCCTGACCCACTTACCTAGAAGTAAGTCCTACTACTTCTGAGTAAATCAGCATTCCATTAAAGTTGCAATCCTAAATCCACTTTCTGGAGACTATAAATCCCATGGAAATCAGTGCAGTTTACATACCAGTAAGCTCCCTTAATCAAATTGGTGAGCGCTTAAAACCACATCCTTAAACTTTGGAACTGAAGACCTCACAGGCCAGGCTACACATGCAGCAGAATGTGGGATGCAACAGGCATAGGCAAACTCGGCCCTCCTGATGTTTTGGGCCTACAACTCCCATCATCCCTAGCTAGCAGGACCAGTGGTCAGGGATGATGGGAGTTGTAGTCCCAAAACATCTGGAGGGCCAAGTTTGCCTATGCCTGTTTGAGACTGCCGTAAGGAGACAACACTTTTGAATGCTTCACTATGTTTAAAGATCAAACGAAAACCTCCAAGTCAAAATTAGCACATAAAGTACTTTAACCCAGCCATTTCCCCATACCACACCGCTTGTCTACTTGCCAGTACGATCCCTCTTGTATGAAGTGGTACAGTCCACTCCAATCATCTCAGAACATTACCACCAGACTCCCCTTCCCTCTGGGCCAGTTTATAGATCCAGCAGACTGAAATAGAATCATAGAATTGTAGAGTTGGGACCTCAAGGTCCGACTCCCTCCAACCCAGGAATCTCAACTAGAGCATCCATGACAGATGACCATCCAATCTCTGCTTAGAACCTCCACTGAAGTTGAGTCAACCATCTTCTGAGGGGGTCCATTCCACTCTCTGACAGCTCTTGCCGTCAAAAATTCCTCCTAATGTTTAGTCGGAATCTCTGCTCTTGTAACTGGAAGCCATTGGTTGTCGTCGTCCCCAATAGCCTGGGCCACTTAAAGGTGCATGTGGAAAGTTGCATGTCAAAACACTCCCTGCATGAACTAAAACTCCCTGCTTACAGAAAGCGAGAATGTCAGGGAGAAGCACCTACCTTCTCTTAAAGCTACTTTTCTATATGCAGGGAGTTGCCCCGACTCTCCATACAGGCAGCATTTAGACATAAGGGGCGCAGGTGGCGCTGTGGGTTAAACCACAGAGCCTAGGACTTGCCAATCAGAAGGTCGGCGGTTCAAATCCCCGCGATGGGGTGAGCTCCCGTTGCTTGGTCCCTGCTCCTACCAACCTAGCAGTTCGAAAGCACGTCAAAGTGCAAGTAGATAAATAGGTACCGCTCCAGCGGGAAGGTAAACGACGTTTCCGTGCGCTGCTCTGGTTCGCCAGAAGTGGGTTAGTCATGCTGGCCACATGACCTGGAAGCTGTACGCCGGCTCCCTCGGCCAATAAAGCAAGATGAGCGCCGCAACCCCAGAGTTGGCCACGACTGGACCTAATGGTCAGTGGTCCCTTTACCTTTTCCCACCCAGGGGTCAAGAAAACCTCCCCCACTTGATCTGGCATGCCTGCGATCGGATGCACTGGCTTCCCGCTGCACGTGTGTACCCAGCAACCCCTCTACACGGGGGTGCCACCTGGTTCTCCCACAGAGGGCGCCCTCCTCCTGCTCCCCCCAGCAGGGGCTCTCACCTGATGTACGGAAACAGCGGCTCCACGTGGCCTTCGAGGACAGCGATCACGTAGGAGATGATGAAGGAGGCCGAAGACCAGACGACCAGCAGCGTCGGAACGAAGGCCGCTCCTTGCGTGCAGCAGGGCATCCTGTGCTGCTGCTGCTGCCACCGCCAGCGGCGCCCCCTAGGGATCAGCGGCTGCCTCTCCCCGCCGCCAGGCATGGAGGCAAGAGAGGCCGCGCCGGCTCGCGGAAGCGGAGAGCAGCCTGGCAGGCGAGTGAAGTCACAAAGCGCCTGAAGTCACAAAACTTTTAATTGGGAGGCCAGAGGCGCCGCGCGCGCACACACACACGCCTCTTCTCCCTCCTCGCGCGAGCTTCGTGGAAGAGAACCAGGACACGCGCAGACACGACCAGTCCCTCGCTTTCTTCTGCAGCCGCCTCCTCCGAGTTGCTTCTCTTCGCAGCTCAGTCCGACGCCCTTTTGGAAAGAGAGAGAAAAAGGAGAGGCCACCGAGGTCTCTCTCGCTTCCTCCCACACACCTGCAGAAAGTTATCTCGCGCAGAGAGCAGGAAGTCTCTCTCTCTCTCTCTCTCTCTGCCTTCAGAGAGCGCAAGTCCAACCTCTAAGAAACCGAAGCGAGCCGAATTCCCCTCACAAACCCAATGCTGTTCTTTTCCAGGAAAAAGCGAATTCCGCTCGCATCCATCACAGTTCCGTTCTACAACCCCCACAGAATCCTCCTCCTCCTCCCAGCCCCATACATAAAACTTCCTCACACAAAAAGTTTTTGGTTTTGGTTTTTCAACTGGGGAAGCTATTCAGATGAACTCGGTTTCCCGCCTTGCAAAAGTCCGGGTCGTGGTTTGCCCGGAGCAGCGAGAGACGATTGCTGAAGTTCATAGGCGCGCAAAGTTCTGAGCGGGCATCCTTGCGCAACGCAGCGCGGCGAAAACGCTTCCTCGCGCAGCCATAAAGCGGAACTTTTCGGAGCTCGCCTCTCGACAACCTCAGCAAACCGGAGGGAGGAATTCCCTCCCCCCATTGCTGAGATGTTTCTGGGATATTGTGCAATTTAATTCTGTTTTTTTTAAAAAAGCACGCGCTTTCCTGCCTCTCGAGTTCATCACCCGGGGATGAGCCTGAGAAAAAAAAACATCCTTTCACCAGGGAAGCAAGCGGGCCTTTCACTTTCGTTTCTATTCTTCAATTAGCCATGGGACCACCGCTTCTTCTTTTTGGCTCTTTTACGAAAAGAGGGTCAGGGGGAGAATTCCCATTTAGCTAACGCATGAGAGGGGCTCTAAATCATGAGTCACAATCATGCTAGGAAGCAGTGAGGATGGTTGAGAAAGTCCCACTATTTCTCAACACCCTTCTGTGTGGCCTAATGAATGGTTATCTTCTTTTTAAATTAAATTTGTCAGCAAGCATTGACATAAGAGTAAAATACAGCTAGTGGCCACCAAAAAAACCCCAGCATTTTACACAATGGTACAAAATATTGCATTGCATCTGTCAGAGTTTACAAAAAATATTCATTCTTGGTAGTGACAGTCATTGCAAAGATGTTAAGATAGCCCACTCCGACTCCCATCAGCCCTGGCCAGGCTAGAAGAGGGTAAAAGGAATCTCACAACTTCAGGAGAGTCATAAATCCCACATGCTTGTGTACTCAGACTCTCCAAGACAAGAGTCCCTATTTTCCAGGTCCCTATCCACAGGCTCACAATCCTAAAAATGTGCTTTAAAATTGTGCAGCTGCATTAAAAATTGGGGAGTCCATCAGGGACCACACATAATTACTCAGTGCAGTACAAAGTTATGATTTATATAGGAATAAAATTAGAAAGAAAAGCAGAAAGCTTAGATTAGACAGATTAGATTAGGCATAGGCAAACTCTGGCCCTCCAGATGTTTGGACTACAATTCCCATCATCCCTGACCATTGGTCATTAGCTAAGGATGATGGGAATTGTAGTCCCAAACATCTGGAGGGCCGGAGTTTGCCTATGCCTGGATTAGATCGATGTACTCCCTGATGTTCTTTCCCTTTATACACCACGGCAGTCTGTTTGTTTGCATGTCTAACTCATTAAAGTAACATATGAAGATTCCACTTCATATGTTTTATCTCTTTCAACCTGTCTTCAACATGAGCATTGGTCAAACATTATTACTCAGTTGTACTATAAACAATACCCTGATATTTCAGTATCTATGGTGGTTGTTAGCTACATCAGGACTTTGCACTTTGCTTAAGCGTTTAAGGAAGTAGTAATGGTAAATGGGGCTTTTTGGCTGACAAGGTTCCTATTCACAATCCAACTGAAATTGAAGGAAAAACCAGTTGCACACAGAGCAAAGGCTAGTAATTCTCCCTCTTTCTGTATCTTGTTTTACAGGGTCAAGTGGTCTTACGGACCACTATGGGCAAAGATTCATATGTCAGCATTAGCTGGAAAATATAGCTCTTCTCTTTCTGCAGTTTGGTCTGCAAGGAATAAAAGAGTGGAGCTAAAGAGTTTTGCCATAAAACCTAAACACAGAGAGTGGTACAGTATACAGATAAAGAAATCAGTATTAAAATGATATGTGCATATAATGGACTTCAAACAAATCAGAAAGAGGAAAAGCAAGTAGTTATTGCCACAATAAGTAGTTATATCCACAATACACTTTGAATGAGTTGTGTTGTCTTTCATGGAAGAATGCAAGTGTGCATATACAGTAGTGCATATCTGATTTCCAGAACTGACTGATATGAAGGAAATGGACTGCTTCATTTAAATAAAAACCCTGCAGGTAGTTGATCTGGGGATTATGTAATTATATTGCCTGGCTCAATAGTCTCCACTCTCTGAAAAAAAACAACCTGGAGCATGTCACAAATTAATTAAAGGAAAGTTGTTGCCATTAACCTATGACTACCATAGAATATAAACAATTGTCTTCTTCTAATGTTTTGAATGTTTATGGATTGAAATGCAAATCAAAGGTAACTTCAGGTTATAATTAGCCAGTGAATTTCTTCAACATTCAGACCAGGTTGAGTCTCAACCATGGGACAGAAACAGACAAATGGCTTGGAGGATTTTCATACCTTTATTTTATTATTATAACAACAACAACAACAACAACAACAACAACAACAATTTATTATTTATTCCCCACCCATCTGGGTGAGTTTTCCCAGACACTCTGGATGGCTCCCAACAGAATAATAATAATAATAATAATAATAATAATAATAATAATGCGACAAAACATCAAACATAAAAAACTTCCCTAAAGAGAGCTGCCTTCAGAAGTCTTCTAAAAATCAGATAGTTGACATCTATTTATTTATTTCCATGACATCTTATTTCCTAAGAACAATCCTTTTTTATCCTTCTAGTAATTTTTTAATCTTAATTAATAAAAGTTTGTGGTCTCTATCAGTAGCGTGAAAGTAACTGAAATTTCAAATATAGTTTCCTTTTTTTAAAACTAGGAGAAAAGTTTAATACCGTGAAATAGTGCTAGTACAGTATGTAGGGCCAGTGGAGGTGTGCAAAGGAAATAGCTAAGAAGATTATTGTGATTTTGGCAACTGAAAATGGACTCTTCTTTTCCTTTTTTGCATAGGATAGGCCCTGTGTATGTTTGAACAGCTAAGCATTAGAGTAGCACTTAGGTGCAGTAATGGGCTGGGGAGAGCCAACAAACTGAGGCTGAATCATGACAAGAAGGCGGCATGGTAGGTAGGGTTTGCAGTCTCCAGGAAGTAGCAGCTACATAGTTGGGAGGTTACCTCCTGGATCCAACATTGTCACTAGAGGACAAAGTGGCCTTCGTGACAGAGAGTGCCTTATAGCATTGGCTGATTCACCAGCTATACTATTCCTGGACAGGGATCTCTTTATATTTGTGTTCCCATAATCTCAGCAAACACTTAAGTATTCTTCCTTTTGCTGAGATACCCAGTTCTACCATGAAAACAGTCGAAAAACAATACCCCCAACATAATAATACATAAAGTTTTAGGCACCACCTAGTGGCAACAGCCTTGTGGTTACAGAAAGGAAATCTTCCTTTTCATAAATGATAAGGAATGCGGGTGGCGCCGTGGTCTAAACCACTGAGCCTCTTGGACTTATCAGCTTGAAGGTGGGCAGTTCGAATCCCTGTGACGGAGTGAGCTCCCGTTGCTCTGTCCCAGCTTCTGCCAACCTAGCAGTTCAAAAGCACAAAACTAGGTAAATAGGTACCACTGTGACAGGAAGGTAAAACGGTGTTTCCATGCACTCTGGTTTCTGTCATAATGTTCCGTTGCACTGGAAACGGTTTAGTCATGCTGGCCACATGACCAGGAAAGCTGTCTGTGGACAGACACTGACTCCCGTGGCCTGAACGCGAGATGAGCACCACAATCCCATAGTCGCCTTTGACTGAACTTAACCATCCAAGGGTCCTTTACCTGTACCTTTTACACCCTTATGAGGTTCTGAAACAAAATGTTGCCTTTTGGAGTGCTTCTTTTCAGAGTTCCAACTACTCTAGACCAACCCCTTGGTTTTCTTTTCACTTGCAAACAGTCAGTCAGGATTCCATATCCACTGAACATGCACAGGGTTCTCAGATCTCCCCGTCTGACCTGAAGTCTCCAGGTTTGCTTGAAGGTGGAGGACTTGAATCTTCAGGTGGGTGAGAATTTTTTAAAATATTATTATTAAAGCACTAAGAAGACTGTGAATTCAGCTTGCAAGCTTAATATTGGCAGGCTGAGGAAGAAAAATCAAGCGCCTGTTGCTGCCTCAAAAATGTGAACCATCATTCTAGACCTGACTCTGAAAAGCTCATAAGAACATAAGCAGAGCTTGCTGGATCAAATAGCCCACAAGTCTAGCATCCTGTTCTCACAGTGGCCAACCAGAAACCCCCAAAGAGTACCTGACTACTCTCCGCTGCTGTGGTTTCCAGCAAGTGGTATTCTAAGGGGAAGGAGAACACAGCCACCGTGTTTAGAAGTAGTAGCAGTAATAATAATTTTATTACAGTATTTATACCCCGCCCATCTCGCTGGGTTGCCCCAGCCAGCCCTTTCCTACATCTATCTGTGTAATTTTTGACAGCCATCCAAGTTGCCTCACCCCGTGGGAGCAGATTCCCGTTCGACCACGCGCCGTGTGCATAAGCGTCCCCCCCCTTTTCCCTGTACTGAATCGTCCCACTTTCCAGCTTCCTTCGGTGCCCCAAGAACCCTAGCAGCGCTACGAGGCAGAAACAAGGGACACGGGTGTGTGGAGAGAACGGACAGACCCGTGTCTGCTCTCCCCTCCCTTTTAACCTTTTCTTGTTTTCAAAACGCTTGCATTTGGCTGGGCAGGCCTGCACGCGGCGTTTGCGGTTTAGACTGATTTGTTTAATTCAAAGACTGCGAGGAAGAAGGCCTTTCTTTAGCCAGCGGTCACGAGACCGTGCAAAAAGACCGACGAGCACATGACTTTTTCCCCGGGCAGAAAAGGAGACTCTCCACGCTGCTGCTCCGAGCAACGCGCAGCAAAAGCAGGAGGAGGCGGCGGCGGCTGCGCCCGCCCGCTGCAGCAGCTGCAGGCCCGAAGGTGGCGCAGTGGCTCCGTAGATGGCGCCGTCGAGCCCGATCCCGGAAGCGGCGGCCTTTGGGATGCACCCGGCAGCGGGGTTGGGCGACGGCTGCTGCTGCTGCTGCTCGGATTGGCCGCCGGCCGCAGGAGAGGAAGGTGGGCACCGGCGGCGGCGGCGGGCTTGTAGGGTGATGTTGGCCGTCGGGTCATGCTGCTGAAGCTCCTGCAGAGACAGACCTATACCTGCCTCTCCCACAGGTATGGGCCTTGCCTTTGCCTCGGAGGCATCGTCCTCATGATCGTCTCTGCCCTGCAGTTCGGAGAGGTGAGTGGAGACCTGCGGGGCCCGCTCCGGAGGGGGGTTGTTTTGTTTGCAGCGCTCCTAAGTATCCCCTCCCTCAGCCGCACTTCCAGGATCCTTCTCCCGACTGCACTTCCCTTAAAATCCTGCTAAGGGTTCCCTCCCTCCTTCCCACCTTGCATGTGACAGACAGTCCCGGTTTTCCCTCTTCCCGTCTCCTCTCCAGTCCCCCCGCCCCCCGCCATCTTTCCTTTCCCCTGCATTTAAGCAGCTGCGTTACAGGCACAATTATTTTCTCCTTCATTGCATCTCCTGTGTCGGGAAGATCGCAGCCTGTTGGATTTCGGCCTGGTAGGTATGTTACTCCTAAAGAATCGTAGATTTTAGCAGAAACTTTATTTACAGCACGTGCTGCGCCCTTCTCACCTTCCTGAAGCTCCCACCCGTTCTTCTATACGCACATCGTTTCCCTTGCCACTCTTTAATTGCCATTTTTTCTCATTTATATGGCGCCCACTTCCCCCTACATTCCTCCTGACTTTCTCTGGATTTCTCCTTGCATTTGTTATACTTCCTTTCTTTATTCATAGCCCACATTACCTACTGCACAGTTTCCTATAGTCTCCCAGTGTTCTTCTTCCGCCATATTCTATTCCTCCAGAAGTTTTGGGCTACAACTTCCATCACCCCTCCCAGCAGGCATAGTTGTGCTGACTGGAGCAGATGGGAATTGTAGTTTGAAACATCTGGAGGGCACCAGGTTGGCCAAGGCACTAGTAGGGATCATTCCCAGTACTTTATGATGTTACCCAGGCAGCTTTGCTGTGTGGGCGGTTGGGAGTGGAGCAAAGAGGTGGAGAACGCCAAGGAGAATCATGAAGGGTGACTGCAGCTGGAGGAAGAACAAGCAAAATGTATAATAATAATAATAATAATAATAATAATAAATTTATTATTTATACCCTGCCCATCTGGCTGAGTTTCCCCAGCCACTCTGGGCGGCTTCCAATCGAGTGTTAAAAACAATCCAGCATTAAATATGTGTGTGTACTTGTCCCTTTTCTTGGTGAGTGGTGGCAATTAAAACTTGCTGTCAGCAGAGACTGTGGTTAATAGATAGGCCCGAGATAGTGCTAGCCACTCCACCAAAATATACATGTGATACTTGCAGAGGAACTACAGTACTCCGTATCTTGACAGTGTCTGATGCCTGTGTTCATGCAGATCTTGTGATCTGATGTGTCCCTGCTCTGTTCTTTGTCAGTTTTATCTCATTGTCTATTTCCAGTGTTGGGCCTCAGTGGGGAACAATGTGCTTAATAACATATGTTCTTAGCTTAAACAAGCTAAGAACACAGCAACAAACTTTTGTTTCCTAGTTCTCAACATAAAGTCTTCATGTTGAAATAGTTTGTGGGATTGAGGCATCTGATTTATCTTGCTGACAGGGGAGGGGAGGGGAGGGAAAGTGAGATAAGATGTGAACATTGAGTCCTTGAGTCTGACAAGTTGTGCAGATTTTGTAAATTTCTGGATGTAAAAAAAAGAATTTAGTCATCTAAAAACAATTTCAACATAGCTTGGATGGTCTGGAACGGCTCTTGAGGTTTGCATGTCTATGTCAGTAAAATGGAGAATTTCAGGAAAAACCAGATTAAGCTTTGCTCTTCTTACAGTGTAATCCTAAACATGTCTACTGAGATGGAAGTCCTGTTGAATTCAGTGGGGCTTACTCCCAGTGAGTGGGGTTAGGATTGTAGCCTTGGAAGAAATCTTTTCAGTAGGAGGGAACTCAAACATTGACTTATTCCTTGCTAAAGTGTAAGTGGTCCTGCTCTTCTTTCTACATTGGTCTCTCCAGATGACCTGTTTATTGCACATTCATTCTGATTTGTTTGCATCCCGTTAGCAATTCTTTCTTCTCACACTTTAAAAGGCATTTTCTTGTCACTTTCCAAACAGCAGTGAGGTGGAAGGATGCTTTAATCATCTTTAAATGTGCAAACCTAAAGTTCTGGTATATGATCGATTCACTGCTGTAAAATAATGGCAGCCTGGGATTGCCCTTTACTACCACCTGAAGATCAGTGCCACTGATTTTAAATGTCAAGCTAATGCATCACCATTTTAGGGTATGATATAAGATACTCCTTCTTTTTGTAGGTTGTTCTAGAGTGGAGTCGGGACCAGTATCATGTTTTGTTTGACTCTTATAGAGACAACGTTGCTGGGAAATCATTTCAGAACAGGTAAGTCTTGGATCCAGAATGGCAGTTCCCCTCCCCCCCTTCCTTGTGTTTGTGAAAGCATTGGTGAACAGTAGCACAGTTTAACCTTTGCACAACCCGTTCTTTCCCCACCTTCAAGCTGTCATTGCTGAAACAGTTTTCGATGGTGGGGGAAAGCGTGTTGCAACTTTGCCTGCGTGTTGCTATGATTCCGTCCTTCCGTCCTACAGTCTATATATGAATCAGATTTCTGATGATGTGGAGGAGAATGCAGAAGAAAAAGCGTGGTTGCAGAAAACGGCGATAAAACTTTTCCAAATGCTTGGCTGCCACTTTGATATTCTGTTCATCTTTTCCATTGAACCTGTATATAAGTGTGCAGTCTTTGTATCTATTGTCCCTTCTGCACTGTACATTTAAAACTGTATTATACCATCTTGAACAGTCATGGCTTTCCCTAAAGAATCTTGGGAACAGTAGTTTGTGAAAGGTATTGAAAGTTGTTAGGACACTGTGTATTCCCCCCACAGAGCTACAATTTCCAAAGTTCCCAGTGAAGAAGAGAGACTGATTGTTAAATCCACCTGAGAATTGCATCTTGTCTGTTTGGGCTTGCTCCTCAACTCAGACTCTTTGGCGTGATGCGGCATCACTTACACACACATTTCCTCAAATCTTCTGTGAACCTCAAGCAGATGGAAGCAGTGCAAGAGACTCACGCTGCTCCTTCCTAATGCTTCAGGGGAGTCCCTGCACCCCAAGTCCTCTGCAAGTGGCAGAGGATTCTTGTGTTCCACTGAAGCTTTGGAGCAGGCGGAAACTTTTGCTTTTAAGCTCAGCACATTGTGTGAGACTTTCCCCTGAGTTCTCCACAGTTTTTGGAGGTGGCGTGGGGTGCAGAGGATCTATGAGTCATCCTATCCAGAGAATAGTATGTTGTCCCTAAGAGCCAAGGATAAACGAGGGACCGCTTTTAAAAGAGTTTGTAGTTGCAGCTGGTCTGATTGCAATGCCCTCATCTCAACAGTTAAAGGTTCAGGCTACCTGATAGCAAAGTATTTGATAAAATGGATACACCATTACCTCTGGGTAGTCAGTTGTGTATATGCTACACCTGATTTTCAATATCATATTGTATTATTGGGGGGGGGCTCAGCCCTCCTATTTGCTTCTCTTGCCAACCCCCCCCCCCCGATAACCCCCTAGACCAGGGTGGCTGCAAAAGTACTTAAGCATAGAACCTGTAGGCTGCATGCTGCTGTGTCCTGCAGAGAAGCAGAGAGAGAGCCCTTCTAATGCCTTACCAAAGCCGGATAACTGAGGTGCCAGACTTTGGGAAGGAGGTGCGAGGCTCTGGAAGGGGCCTAGAATCGTCCCTCTTCCTTTCCAAAGCTGAGAAAGCACTACAACTAGGTTTTCGGAAGGAGGCTGGATGACTGTAGGATCGTGTCAGGAGAGCCTTCACACCACCTTCCCAAAGCTGAGCGCTGAGATGGGGGGGGGCGTCAAATGTAGCTGAGGGCCACCCAAGAAGGCATTGAGGGCCACATGCAGCCCTCGGGCCATGCATGGCCCTGCTCTAGACCTTCCTCAACACACACTGTGCAACTACAAAGCTCCCGGAGAGTCAGTGTGGTGTAGTGGTTAAGAGCAGTAGACTCGTAATCTGGTGAACCGGGTTCGCGTCTCCGCTCCTCCACATGCAGCTGCTGGGTGACCTTGGGCTAGTCACACTTCTTTGAAGTCTCTCAGCCCCACTCACCTCACAGAGTGTTTGTTGTGGGGGAAGAAGGGAAAGGAGAATGTTAGCTTCTTTGAGACTCTTTCAGGTAGTGATAAAGTGGGATATCAAATCCAAACTTTTCTTCTTCCCTTTTCACCTTCCTAACCTCATTTCTAAAACAATTTCTCTCTTCTGCAGCTCCACTTTCCACCTGCTTTTTCTCTTTCATCCATATGGCCATACCTCTCCTACTGTATTTTTGCAACTCCCCCCCCCCACTTATTATTTAACTACTTTGTTGGAAATCTATTGGAATAGAAGAATGTCAATGGGAACAGTAAAATGTGTTATAGCTCACTAATTTGGTTTTGATTGTGTTGAAGTCATAGTCATGCCGGGTTTGAGTTTGAATCATAAAGATTACTCACTTGTTTCTGTCTTCTGACTTCAACTCCAAACAACCATTAATACACCCCCCCAAGAACCACAGTATGTAAGTAACTGTGAATTTTTAAATTAGTTTTTAGCATTTATAATATTGTGATCCTCAAGCTTCTTTTTCTTTCTGAAGTAATTAGTCAAAATAAATTTGGGGGCGATTGCATCGGCTCCCTAAACTTCAACAAAGCAGGAAAATTGTCTAGAAAGGTAATCTTCATTGAAAGCAGGATGTAGTCTTTGAGGTCATGTTGCTACGAAACATTTGTGGTAATTCTTCTCCACAGAAAATATAATCACTGTTAGACATTTTAAATCCCCAGATATACCTTGCACTCACAGTATAGTATACCTCCTGTCTACCTCCTAGTATACCTCCTGTCTACCAAGTAAAGTATTTATTTTCATTGTTGAAGAACAATGAATAGGTTTTTTTTTTCCTTTGTAAACCGCAGCCAAATGAGGATGTGGCTGATGTTATCAGTCTTAATATTTCAGTTGGCTGCAGTGACCTATCTCTTCCTGGTTGCGTGAGCTGTACATAACAGTATCTCTATATATCTGAAAAATACAGTGTAGAACGTAACCTCACCTTGGGGTATTAGCATCTTCATTATATGTTTAATATTGGGAATATTTGTTATGGCTGAGAAATGGAGGAAGAGTTGAGAACTGGGAGAACAACCTGTACCTCTCTTTCACCTCTTCCAGTACTTTAGACAAGTGGCAGCTGCAGAGACTGGTTTCCTGGTTTGTTTTTTAGAACATCATAAGAGTCACACAGTGACCAACTAGATCAGGGGTCAGCAACCTATTTCAGCTGTGGGCCAGTCCACTGTCCCTCAGACCATGTGGTAGGCTGGACTATATTTTGAAAAAAATAATGAACGAATTCCTATGCCCCACAAATAACCCAGAGATGCATTTTTTGTGCCATATAGGCTTTTTGTTCAGTGTGGGTTTAAGTGGAATTTACATGTGGCCAGGTTTGTAGCCTTGGTTATCTTGCCTGGCCCCTTGGGAGATGCATTGATGGAGAGTGTAGATGCCTTTTGAAACACAGGGGCTTTCAGCAGCATAGATTTCAAAACACTGACAATTTGGGAGCATTCACAGCTCATTGAAATAACACTTATGCTTGGGTGAAAGCAGTGCTGCCCAAGTGAAAAGTGGAGGCTTGGAGAAGGGCTCACATGCCTCCTTTAATCTGAGATTGTCCTGGTCCGTTCTGTAGCCAAGAGAGGATGGAATAAGGTTTTCTGTGCAAATACATCAGACTGACAAAGCAGCACAGTAAACATAAAATAGGGAAAGGCTGTATAGAAATAAAATTGACACTAATCTTGCCCCATCATTGACATTGATAACTCAGAATTTGCTATGAAACGGATCTTTTATTATAAACCATAATCTCCACCCAAGGGTTGTTCGCAGTTTATGTTTGGATTTTCATATCACAGGTATACAGGTTTTTCTCATGCTTCCTTTGACTGTCTACTCCTGTTTCCTGGGGGGAACAGGTACTCACATCCAAACTGAGCAGAATTTAACTTTCCAATTGTCAGCTATCAAACTGAGGTTAAATCCTGCTGGGAACAGCACTGAATTGAACCCTCCTACCCCTCAGCTGACATCACAAGTGATGTCCACAGATTGACAGGTGGATGTGGGTTCAGGGTAGTGGCCCTCATGGGTTAAATGACTGATGGGGCAAGATTAGAAACCGCTGGGGGCCATTCCTGGTTTAGAGCAACTGTGTCTCCCAGCCCTACCTAGAGATGCTGGGGTTTATACCTGGGACCTTTTGAAGGCAAAGCAGGTTCTGTCCCACTAAGCTATGGCTCTTTCCTGAAGAGCTATGTGCTCTTCTCCTAACCTTCTGGAAGAGGAAATAATGGAGCCCTTCAAGAGCCGTCTTTTGTTCCATATCTGTCAGCACCGCCTCCTGATCAGAAACAGTATTTAAATCTGCTGCCGCCACCAGACTGACAGGAATTTCCATTTGTTTCTGTCTCATGCCTTCTTTTGTGTCCTAAGTGTCTGCTAGTCTCTTTGCATGAGCCAGATGATTAAAAATAAATTGTTTTTGGATAATTGGTGGTCTAGGATGGCTTGCCAGCATTTCAAGGATTGGGCAGACACAATAAATGTTTTAATTTTCCTTAACTAAAATTAAACACTCTAGGGATGCCCGATTTAACTTGAGACACTTGTCCATCTGGATCAGCTCTTGAAAAAACTGTTGTTATTTGGCCAAAGCAAACCTTCCATTTATACAGCTGTGTGGGTCATGTTCCAGCTACTGAACAAAATCTATTATTTATCATTAAGAGGCACGGCTAATTTGGGGTGTAGCAGGGTATTAAGAATATCCCAGTAGACTATGTTTTTGTAAGATAAAATAAGGTGTTGCAGAACCATTGCACGCTTGTTACAGGACTTTAATAATGGTGCAACAGCAAGCTTGCAAGGAAAAGATTCACCTGTAAGCCAATTCATGCAGGGTTCTGAGTGCATATATTCTCCATCTAGTTAGCAGGTCTTGAAAGGAATCCTCATGCAATGATAGGAGATGGAGAATTTTCCTTTTCTAAGACTGCAAAAGTAGATGCAAACGAATGGATATAAAGCCAGTCAAACCAGGCAGTTTTGAAGCTAGAATTAACTTTTACAACTAGGCATCATAATTAACTTTTTTTAAAAGGCAACTACTCCTATGAAGTATATTTATTAAATATCTACTGAACTCTCACACATTATTTATTGGTAAACAGGAAAACAAAGTACATGTAATCCAATGTGGTAAACTGGATCTCAGATAATTTAGGACAGGCTTCCTCAACCTCGGCCCTCCAGATGCTTTGAGACTACAATTCCCATCATCCCGACCACTGGTCCTGCTAGTTAGGGATGATGGGAGTTGTAGGCCAAAAACATCTGGAGGGCCGGGATTGAGGAAGCCTGATTTAGGACATGGGGAATTTGGGAGGCCCCACAGAATGCCCCTCATTGCCCTCATAGCCCCCTTTCCTTGCTTTGTAGAGTATTTAGTATGAACAGAGATGTACCTGCATACATTCAGGGGCCAGTGAATGCCATTTGTGTACTCTTTTTGCTCCAAACAAATGATGGACAGATTGTAAAGGGGTCCAGGGGCAGCAGCATGCTGTGGTTTGTACAAAACATGTAGATGAAAGGAAGCACTTTCTCGCACTGCAAAGTACCGGTAGTTAAACAATGGAACTCGCTGCAGTGGTCGCGATTGCCACCAACTTGGGTGACTTTAGAAGGGGATTTGACAAACTCATGGAAGATAAGGCTATCAGTGGCCACTCGTCATGATGGCCATATAGGCTTGCTCTGGTGTTCCTTGGAATATTGGGGATCGTAAGCAGAAGTGATCTGTTGTGCTTGTGGGCTTCCTTGATTGGCTGTTGTGGGAACAGAATGCTGGGCTCGATAGACCTTTGTTTTGAACGGGTAGGGCTACTCAGCATTCTTTCCTTTGTATATCTGTGGGCGGAGCAATGAGGCCTCCCTAATTCCCTTCCTGGACATTTGCTGATCATAGGCACCAGGGGGGACTGCATGTGAACTGGTACTATGTGTGTTAGAACAGGGTGTGCAGGGGGTCTGGCTGTGGCAAAGTCAGGAAAAACAGACAGTGAGGATGTATCTTTGGCCAATTTAACACAAACAATGACATAGCTGGAATAAATCATGAATGGCTGGTTGTGACACATTGTTTTCCTCCGCATAAGTATTTTTAGAACAGTTTCGACAGAAGCCATAGGTGGAAAATGTTACATTAAGTTTGAAAAACCATACTGGTTTTGAACTTGGGCAGGGTGTGTGAGCAGAAAATGTGATTTCCCCCTCCTACTTTTCATAAGAGTTTTCCAGAGTTATAAATTAGGATCTGAACTCCTGAATCAAGGGCTGAGTTTTGGAATTAAGACTGTGGTTGTCAAACCCTGGGGAAGACCATGGAACACCTAGAAGAGGGAAACAAACTTTTTGGCTTCCTGAAACAGATGGGACCTTCCTCTCCACACCAGCCATAGATTAAATGCCTTGCAGCAGAGGAGCCTAACAGATCCATGCTGGATTTGTTGAGGTGACCTTCTTCCCCACTTGCCACATTATAATCCCAATCTTGTTTATGATTAATGTGGGACATGAGTGGCCTCTTCCATGGATCTTTGCACACAGCAATGGGTTGCATGCACATACGACCCTGTGCAAGGAGCTCTGCACAATCTGCTATGAGAGGTGTGGTTTTTTTTGGGGGGGGTTAGTATGGTAGATGTAGGTTTTATTTATGTATCTCCTGCTCTAAAAGCACTATACATTTAAGAATGGGGAGCCAAACTCAAAAATAAGTGTTTGAGAAATACTGCATGAAGGGTCATTGGAAGGAAAGAACATAAAAAGTTACAAGTTTTAAGAATCTTTCTTTTGTTGTTGTTTAGTCGTGTCCGACTCTTTGTGACCCCATGGACCAGAGCACGCCAGGCATTCCTATCTTCCACTGCCGCAGTTTGGTCAAACTCATGTTTGTAGCTTCGAGAACAGTGTTCAACCATCTTGGCCTCTATTGTCCCCTTCTCCTTGTGCCCTCAATCTTTCCCAACATCAGGGTCTTTTCCAGGGAGTCTTCTCTTCTCATGAGGTGGCCATAGTATTGGAGCCTCAGCTTCAGGATCTGTCCTTCCAGTGAGCACTCAGGGCTGATTTCCTTAAGAATGGATAGGTTTGATCTTCTTGCAGTCCAGGGGACTCTCAAGAGTCTCCTACAGCACCATAATTCAAAAGCATCAATTCTCAGGCGATCAGCCTTCTTTGTGGTCCAGCTCTCACTTCCATACATCACTACTGGGAAAACCATAGCTTTTACTATACGGACCTTTGTCGGCAAGGTGATGTCTCTGCTTTTTAAGATGCTGTCTAGGTTAGTAAGTGTATTTTTAATGTGTAAACATTATTTTTAATATTTTTAATGTGTAAACCAGAGTAAGTGTATTTTTAATGTGTGGTGATGCAGAAGCACATTGATTAAAAATGAGAAACTGATGAAGAAACAAAGCTTAACTGAATGTTTTGATTATGCCAGAAATAATGGAACAAGTTTATCATTTGAAACTCCTGAGTTTCAACTGACTGGTTGCAGGCGAACGTAATCTGTGCTGCTGTGAATTGCTTTTCAATTTAAGCCTGGACAGGTTGAGCTGGTTTCTCTCTCTTAATGGGATTTCTCTTATAGGCTTTGCTTGCCAATGCCTATTGATGTGGTGTACACCTGGGTGAATGGCACAGATGTTGAGCTGATCAGGGAACTGCAGCAAGTGAGGAAACAGATGGAGGAAGAACAGAGAATGATGAGGTAAGAACATTTCTCTGCGTGCACAGTATGCTGAGCTGCCCTGGCTGGAGGTAAGAAAACTAAAACAATTGGGTTGTGTCCAGTTTTAGTCCTGCTCAGAGTAGATCCATTGAAACTAATAAACACGACTAACTTGGTTGGCATCCATCTGCCTTGGGCGACCATAGAGGAGCACGCCTTTGGGGGTGAAGTCAAACTGTTGGAAGGTTACAGCATGTGCTGCAGCTGTAGAGACTTGCTAACTTAGGCCCATCAATTTTAATGGGTTTACTGTGAGTAGGACTTGGTTGGATACAGCCCAAGGTTTTGCCAGAAGGAAGTGAACCTCCCTAAGATGCCATAGGCTTTTGCAGGTGAATAAATTCATAAGATTGGCTTTTGCCGTTGGTCTATCCTTGTTCTTACCTGTTTCTATTCTTGCCCATCCAGTGTCAATTGGAAGGAAACATCTAGATACTTCATGTTAGAGAATTTTGCATGTTACCTGTTTTGTGCTTCTGGTGTAATATTTGAAAACGGACTCGCATGTGGGAGATTAGCAAGTTGATTCATATCTGCAGCATGTACATCTCCCACATATAAGACTCTCTTTTCAGAGAGTATTGTATCAGGGGCATGGCATTTTGCTTTCTCTGGTGCCAATAATTCTTGCAAGCAGGTAACATCACTTGCAAGCAGGTAACATGAAAACAATGTTTTGTATGTTCAGCTGGCCCTGACCACTTGGCTTCAGTGCGACTGTGAAAGTCTTCTTGTTCTCACTAAAGAGGAGGGTCCCTGATTCTTGCCTTAGTTCAGAGTGCTCCAAGCAGTGAACTATATAGAGGCTATAGCAACATTTGGATTCATAGAATGACCAAGGACGCTGTGAACATCTGGAAGCATCTGGAAGGCAATGTTATGGTGTCATGTGAATGCTGCTGGAAAACTCTTCAATGCGTTTGTGGCTCTTTGCAAGGATCACAAAGTTTGTAATCAATTTGCTTCATGGATTGTCCACTTCGATTGAGAGTCTCTGCAACAATAGCCAACGTAAACATTTATGCCCTGCCACAGTCCAATTAATCCTTGAGGTTAGCTGCTTGCAGGCCTTATGCTCTCTGTGGGAAGCTGCCATATTGAAGTGTGTTTCAGCAGCCTTCATTTGTGGGGATGTAATTAAATTGGCCATTCATCCTGTAGATTTATCGGACACGGCTCTCAGTTATTTAACTGAAGCACCTGTGCTTGAATTGCTTCTGTGTCCTAATAGGTGGTATGAATGGGAGAGGTTTGATGCTGTGACATATTCTGCTACTTCTGGGTTTTGTGTGCAAAAACTCACGTTATTGAGATTCTGTTACTGTCTACAGGGTGATGAGAGTAACTAGAACCTGTGTGCATTTTGGGTGTATATGTTAATTCAGGGGGGATTTAATAGTTATGCGTTTACTTGTATTTTAGGGAAATTCTTGGAAAGAATACAACTGAACCAACTAAGAAAAGGTAAGAAATAATATAGGTGTTTCATGTTTTTTGTTTAAAAGGCTTTCAACTATCAATATATTAATTACTGTGTGAACCTTAACTGACACTGTAATTTCAAGTGAGTGAAGTAACATTTAAAATAGCCATGATCAAGGGGTAGGACAAAACTGGTACACTTTTCCTCATGTTCTAAAGTAAATAACTCATTTTTAAATTATTATTGTTGTTGTTTTGTTTTATTTCTTGTACCCGGCCCATCTGACTGGGTTGCCCCAGCCACTCTAGGAGGCTTTCAACAAAATATAAAGGAATACAACAAAACTTCAAGCATTAAAAGTTTCCCGAAACAGCGCTGTCTTCAAACGTCTACAGAAAGACATATAATGGTTTATCTCTTTGACATCTGACAGGAGAGTGTTCCACAGGGCAGGCACAACTACCAAGAAGGCCTTTTGCATCATTCCCTGTCTGATCACTCAAAAATCAGGCTTTTGTAGTTATTCCCAATGATCCACACACGCCTAAAGCAATATGGGTGATGTCCACCATACGGACAAAACCTCAAAATGTGAAGACATGTTTCATTGTTACCTCTATCCATAAGAGAAAGGGTAATGAGGTGAGCAAAAAGGCCCATGTAAACCCAACTAGCAGCTGCCAAATTGCTCTCATGGTACATTTATTTCTGGCTTCTGTATTTTATCAGGCTGGGCAACCTAGAAAGGCTGTATGCAATACAGCAGTAGTCCTCCCACCCAGAACAACTTGAAAATGGCTGAGGGTCTTGGCAGACCACTTAATAACTTTTTTTGCCTGTTGTAATTTCAGTGCCCTGTGCTGGGTGCTGTATGGTGAAAATAAAATTGCCATACCAATAAAATACATAAGAAATAAAAGAAGCAATAAAAGACAGTTTAAAAAAATCAATATGAATATTTAATATGCAGGACCTGCTATCTCCTATCTACAGCCACCAATCTGCAGAAACATCATAGACAGCCTGAATGAAGCTCATGGAACCCCTGTAGTATACTGTGACACATGACAAATATTTAAAGAAATGATTACTTTAAGTACAGATTTGACCTGGGATATATTTCTGCAAAATATGAATAAACAGAGAGCAGGCAACGCCATTGGGGTGGGTGTGTGATTCTTTATCAAAAGCTAGTCAAAGCTGAATAGCCACGTGCAGCTTTGAACCTGAGAGTATGCCTGACTTTTGCTGTCTTGATCCTAGTGAGAAGCAACTGGAGTGTTTACTGACACATTGCATAAAAGTGCCAATGCTCGTCTTGGATCCAGCTTTGCGGAGCAACATCACTCTTAAGGATCTGCCCTCTGTCTATCCCCTACTGAGATCTGCCAACAATATATTCCTGGTTGCCAAGCCAAAGAACCCTTCCACCAACGTTACTGTAGTTGTTTTTGACAGTTCTAAAGAAGGTAAGGATCTATTTTAAGTCTTCTCCCACTAATTGGCAACATATGGTTTTAGTTTACCATAGGATTACTGCTGTTTTAAGGGACTCTTCTCTAGGGGATTTCCTTCTCCTCCTCTTGTTGTTGCAATGATTAAAGGATGTCAGTAGATAAACTTAGTAGGCAGAGGAGAATGTGTCCTAAAAATAAGACCCCCCCCTTAAATGTTCCAGAAACTTGATCTAAGTATATGTAGAGAAATATGTACACGTAGTGATTTGGTGTCCCCCAGTTTATATGCAAAAATATCGGTGTTGGTGGTGCCTCCTTAATAAAAATAACATGACATTACCACTTACTTTATTTGGAGAATAATTTGTTAGTTTCTTCATTTTTCAACAACAGCAGCAGAGAGGTTTTGCCTTGGGCAAAATGTGGACCATGTTGTAATTGTTCTCTCAGTGCTCTGCATTTTGCTTTCATGATGAGGTGAGGTGTTGCGTAGCCTATTGTTCAGATTCCCTTTCTAGTCCCTTGAGACATGCTGCTCACAGAGACACGGGTGCATCTTCTTTTGTCTGTACACAAGGAGATGGTAGTTGTATTTATTTTTATTTTGTTTATGAAGCGCTTCCCGTAAAACACCCCAGAGCAATTTTAACATTAAAAGCAATTCCGTGTCCAACAGAGGCACTGGGATAAAACAAATCTCTACTTAAAAGGCTTGTTGGAAATGAAAGGTCTTCAATAGGCACCCAAAAGATAATATGTGAGATTGAGTTCCAAAGCATAGGTGCTGCCACATTAAAGGCCAAATTCCTAGGTCATATGGAACAGATTGCCTGACAATATGGTATCTGTAGGAGGTTATTGTCTGCAGAGCACAGTAATCAGATGACTATATAAGGGTCGAGACAGTCTTTTAGGTATCCTGGTCACAAGTAGCATAGGACTTTGTGAGGAGATTTCACCCCTCCCATTGCAAGAATCTGCTGATTTTCCAGAGAGGAGGGGGCGGATTGTGCTCCAGTACTTATTCCACTCCAGCCTCACTTCAAAGGGGAGACTGAGTGTTATCTCTGTGTAGATAAGGTCGCTGCAGAAAGCAGCTGTAACACTCAGTGCATTCCAGCGTCTCCATTTGTATATAGTTTGTATAGTACAGTAGCTGTAGTGAATAAAAGAAGATATTCTTCAGCGCTGTCGTCCAAGTGATTTATCCTCTGCTATACTCTGCTGTGCACGGCTGTCTTCTGGAAGTGAGTTCGGTGCTCACAGCTCTGAGTTGTGAGTCCACAGCACTTAGACCTGTTCCTGTGCAGAAGGTGGTCTCTGGAAGTGCTACCCCAGCTCGCCTGGCACAGTCGGGGCTGAAGTGGTTGAGCCCAGTCGGTGGCACTGGCTCAAGGGCGAAGCTGACACTTTGTACCAGCACCTTGAACTTAGCCCCGTAGCTAATCCACACAAAATAGCCCAGTGAGGACTTACTTTGGGGAGAGAGTGTTGGGAAAGGGAGGGAGGGACATTAAATGGAGCTGCTGGAATCCTTCATACTGCAACATTTTGTTAAAGGTCCCACCCTCCAGATAAAACGTATTTTCTTACTTCTTATTCTGTTGGCAATAGCTGATGGAGAGAAAACCCCTCATTGTGGGACTGTGGCATTGTGGTTTGTTTCTTCCATTGGCTAGCAAATATTGCATTTGGCTTTGAAATTAAATAACCAACTCTGATGATTCGGGGGCAAGTTATCCCCATTCTGCAGTGTTGTTGTTAAAAAATATTTATTTCATAAAATTTAGATAGCACTGGATTGTAAAGAAAACTTCAAAGTGTCCCATAGCAAGTATATGTGAGATCTTAAAAGAGTTTTTATTTACAAATTATGCAGTGTATTGCTGCAAAAATTCTGTAAAAGTTTTGACCTGTGATTTGAATTATTGAACATTCCAGCCGAAGATGCCCATTCTCAGATGTTAAAGGAAAGCAGCAAGCAAGCAGTGTGGAGAGGCTATTTGGTATGTTCCTTTAAAATGATGTTGGTATATATACTAGAAAGGGACGCGGGTGGCGCTGTGGTCTAAACCACAGAGCCTAGGGCTTGCTGATCAGAAGGTCGGTTGTTTGAATCCCTGCGACGAGGTGAGCTCCCGTTGCTCGGTCCCAGCTCCTGCCAACCTAGCAATTCGAAAGCACGACAAGTGCAAGTAGATAAATAGGTACTGCTCTGGCGGGAAGGTAGACAGTGTTTCCGTGCGCTGTTCTGGTTCGCCAGAAGTGGCTTAGCCATGCTGGCCGCATGACCCAGAAGCTGTCTTCAGACAAACGCCAGCTCCCTTGGCCTATAAAGCAAGATGAGCGCGCAACCCCAGAGTCGTATGTGACTGGGCCTAATGGTCAGGGGTACCTTTACCTTTATATATACTAGAAAGTTTGGATCCTTGCTTGGATGCAAGGTCCTGTTTCTAAAAATTCTTTGTTTTTCTGTAATATTTCCATAACTTCTGTAATAGCTTGTAAGGAAAATTCTCATGCTAAAAGTCTGACTTCTCCCCTGGGGAGCACAATGGGGGGGGGGAAAGTGTCAGTCCTTTAAAAAGAGAATTAAGTAAATAATAAATTCCCTTACTTGCAGACTACAGACAAAGAAGTTCCTGGTTTAGTAATAATGCAAGACTTGGTTTTCCTCAAAGGATTTCCACTTACATTCAAAGAGACAAATCAACTAAGAGCAAAACTGCCCGACAACCTTGCTTCCAAGATAAAGCAGGTAAGTGTCAACTAGGATAAGAGCAAAATCTAGCAGATGATTGTGAATAATGGAGTAAACCTTCTGCTAAAAATCATTTTTTTCCTTGCACGCAAATCAAAATGATTTTCTCCTTGCTGTTATTCATTTACCATTGTAGTAGTCTCATAGGTTATTCAAAAGATGCCAAATCCTGATTTGAAAACTTTGGCTGAAAACTAAAAATTCTGTTGGAGATGGCCTGCTTGAGGCAGGAATTCCAGGAGGCTGGTCTAGTTTAGGGGTCGGCAAGGTTTACCTCGTCTGGGCCGGTTCACTCCAGCGGAGATCCCTCTGTGGGCTGGATCGTGCGCATGCCTGCGATTTCCTGCATCTGCACAGGCGCAATTTCTGGCGCCATGGAAGCGAGTCCCTGCACCGTGCTGTTCCTGTTTAGCGCAGCGTGCAGGGACTCGCCGAGCGGGCGGCTCGAGGGCCAATTAAACGACTCCCGTAGGCTGCTTGTGCCCCATGGGCCTTAGGTTGCCGACCCCTGGTCTAGTTCTGCATATGCCCCATACATTGAAAGCACCATCCCCGCTCCAAATCCTGGGAACTGTAGCTTACCTCTCACAGAACTGCGTTTCCCAGCACCCATAACACACTTCAGTTCCCGTGATCCTTTGGGTGGTCGCTTTAAATGTATGGTGTGTACATTCCCAAGTGTCCTACAAGACCTTCCCCAACTCCACAATTCTATGAGCTCTGGCACCCTGAATTACAAGCCACTGGAAATGTAAATTACGTACCTGCATATCCCAATTTTGCATTAGCCCAATAAATATCCTTGACGTGCTTTGCAAAACAGTTTGCTGCATTATTCTAAACTGAATTCGCAAAAAATTCTGCCTAACAGTTTGGTCAACACACAGCTGGTTGGACGGAATTCAAAGTTGCCTGCATGCCCTACGTGCTCTGTGTGAAGAGCCATATGCGTGCACATCAGATATAACCTTTATATAGGATTTGTGCAGCTACTTGCATCATTTTTTGTGAGTTAATGACTTAAAGAGCTTGGGCAATCCCAGTGGGATTTTGGTATTCCCCACCCTCCTCACTCTTTGAACAGCAGAGCCATCTTACAAGCATCTTTTGGTTTCAAAAGTGGTATGTAGCCTGATAGGCTGATGTTTGAGGAACTCAGCCCCAAAGTGCCCTTAGGCACCCCCAGACGTTAGTGTGTAGTTCTTTGGATCCCAGCCATTATCCTTGCTCAGATGCCTTTGTGAAATCCTTACTACAAGGAAGCTCTTCTATTAAATTGTTCCCTAGTGCAGTAGTTAAACCCCAAGTACAGTCATACCTCAGGTTACAGACGCTTCAGGTTGTGTTTTTTTGGGTTGCGGACCGGCAAAACCCAGAAGTACTCGAACGGGTTACTTCTGGGTTTCGGCGGTTGCGCAAATCACTCTTTGCACATGTGCAGACGCGCCAAATCGCAACCCACGGGTACGGGTTCGCAACCCGAGCGTCCACTGTAATGTTGTGTTTCTGCTCTCAAAACTGGATACAAGTCTGATTATTTGAGTGCCTATTTAGCCGTTATATTGTTGCACCTTCTGATCCTTGCCTCAAGCTGGTCTTCTGCCTGATTTAAAGAAGTCTTTAATGGTATGGATTGATGGAATGAATGTCTTGCAATCAATTTAAATTTTGCATTGAGAAGAACAATGAAATTCTGTAAGAAAAGAAATCCAATCCAGTTCCAATCCAAGGCATTGGAAGTTGGAAGAAAAAGTTGGTACCGTTGAAACAAATAATTTGTTTCATTTAATGCCATAGTCCGAAATTGCAACACTGCGTAGAAATCGGCAGTTGGCCACTAGGTGTCACCCTCCTCTTTTCAAATCTTTATGAATGTTTGGTCCAAGGTTTTGCAAAGGTGACCTAAAAATAAATATTCCAAGCTTATGCCCTTCTTGAGCCAGAGAGTTCAGTGCTGTTTAACCAGTATTTCAGTGCTGATGTACCTATTTACCTACCATACACAAGAATGAAGGAGTGATTCATTTCTCTTTTTTTGTTATAAAGTTTGAAACCCAGTGTTTGTCCAAACATTCCCATTGTAGCTGTTACTCAAATCTTTCATATCTGTCTTGCAATTTTTGCATTCTACAAATTTGGGGAGCTGCATGTGGGACTTTCTATGATACTCATTTTTTTTTAAACACCACAGTGCCTTCAATATTTGATTCTGGTGGCTGAATTTTGGCTGCAAGGTGCTCACAGACTAAATATATGACAATAGGTTGATGCCAAGTAATACACTTTGTTCCACGACTATATTTAAACTTGATTCTAGTAACTTCTGATACCTCTTCCTGAAAGTGCTAGAGCTGAAGCCTGTGGCAATAATGTTATTTATAGACAACTTTAAGGATTAATCATGCTTATAATATTGTAGTATGTTGTACAGGCTGTGTTAGAAACTGGAGGCTATATTCTGGATTTTAACTGCAGTCTATATCAGGGGCGGGAAAACCTTTTCATCCCAAGGGCCACATTCTATTCTGGCAATCCTTCCAAAGTTGTGCAGGGCCAAAAGTGACGTCTAATTATTAACCACAGCTTGATGTTTTCTCTGAACCCAATGAATTGTGGTTTAAAATAAAAAATTAAGAATCTTTATTTGCGTCAGCCACTAGCCATAGCAATACAATAAAATACAATGCACTGAAGATAGAGGTGAAAACTTAACTATACAAAATACATTCTGGAGGTTTACATCAATAAATAAATGGATCTTATTCTAATTGCCCCTGCTAAAATTTTTGCAGTTTTTGCTGTCACCTGTTTATCTTGATCAGCTGAAAGAATGGACACAGTAGCAATGATTGAACGACCTGGTATGGGGTAGTATAGAGTGGTAATAACCTCACTCCACAGATCTTTATAAAGAGTGCAAGCCAGAAGCATATGAGCCACTGACTCAATACTGCCACATAAGCGTTTTTCCGGTGGAATTTTTTGAAACTGACCCTCAAGTATATACCCTCAAGTACAGCCAAAGGCAGTAAGTGAAAGCGCCTCTGTGTTTTGGAATTGTTAGATTTTGCAACTAGGGTGCCAACCTATTAAAACGACTAGGTGGAAAATAATTATACCATGGACAAAATTTCCTTACTACTTATGTTGAATTGATCCAGCTTCATAAACTGTGGTTTGAAGTTTGCTTGTTCTAAACTAAAGGGTAGTAAAGGGATGAGTGAGTAGCACAGTTTGATTCAGTAATACCTTTCACTGGGGTGGGGAACCTTTTGCTCTCTAGAGTTTGTTGGACTCCAGTGCCCATAAGCCCCACCCAGCATTGCCAGTGGTGAGGATGATGGGCATTGTAGTCTAGCAACATCTGGAAAGTCACAAGTTGCCCCACTCCTGCCCCTGGAGCCAAGCAGCTTGCCCACTCATACGGCCTATGAAAAGACAATTTTTTACATTTCCCTAACTCATTTGGCATGAATAGACTCAGGTGGTTGTGAGAATTTGTTTCTTTCTTGCACTTGTGTTCTAAACAAACCATTGCTAAAATTAACTGGAGCTTGTCAAATTTTGACAAAACAGCTAACTGCTGTTAACCAAAGCTGGAAGTGAAAATTTCTGAACACTTACTAGTGATTGTTCCAGGAAGAGACTAGATTGATTCCCTTCACAGTAGACCGTGAGTTATTGTAATGTCTGAACACGACCATTATGTGAACGACTTCCTTTTGTCAGTTATGAGCTTACCACTTTGCTGAATAAACATCTTAGTATTAGCAGAAAAGAAGAAGAAGAAGAAATACTTTTTCTCCACCTGCACCACTCATACAGTGGTGCCCCGCAAGACGAATGCCTTGCAAGACGAAAGGGTTTTCCGTTTTTTGAGTCGTTCCGCAAGACGAATTTCCCTATGGGCTTGCTTCGCAAGACAAAACGTCTTGCGAGTTCTTGTGAGTTTGTTTCCTTTTTCTTAAAGCCGCTAAGCCGTTAATAGCCGCTAAGCCACTAATAGCCGTGCTTCGCAAGACGAAAAAACCGCAAGACGAAGAGACTCGCGGAACGGATTAATTTCGTCTTGTGAGGCACCACTGTAATTCGATAATCAGCTTTTCACCACTTGGTAGCTCTCATTTTTAGTCATTTACTTAATTTTGGATCCATTTGGGGAATATGCTTTTATCAGTACGGTTTATCAGTATCAGTTTTGTTGGAACCACTGAGAAAACCCAGGAAAAGATCAAGCTTTGTTTTATTCAGGGTAACTTTATGCATGTTTCCATAGCGGTGAGGATGAAGAGGATAAGAGACAGGGAAATCCTGTGTCCTTAATACAGCCTTCCTGTGTGCAGTGGAAACTTCTGCGAAACATGGCATAAATATATTTTCGATGATGCACGGTGGAGGGGACAGCATGACATTGTTGTTCTCCTAAATAAATGTGAGGCTGCTTGATGGCAGCTTTGCAATCTGTAGCATTTCCACAGCATTATTTTTGGAGAGCGCTTGCTGGTATCCATAACTCTACCTCCGTCTCAACAACTAGCGAGGCCACCCTTTCATCAGTTTGTCCAGATGATGATGATGCTCTGGAAGGGCTGAGATTTATCGGATTTTCCCCATGACAGACCTCATGAGTCAGATTTAGAGCTATCGGGTGGCACATGAATTCAAACCATCAACGGCCTTAAAATGTCACAAGCGTGACAGCTGGGCCTGTGTTTGCTGTGAGAATGGGATGGGTAAAGGGGACAAATGTCTGAAAGGAAAGAGGAAAGGTCAGTTTAAAAAAGAAAAAGAAATGATTTTGGGGTTGGGGTTCATTTATGTAAATGTAATATAAATGCAGTTGAATAGCATTTGTAAAATAAAATAAAATCTGGCAATATACTGCTATAAAGCATTAAATATGGGGTGTGGAACTTTTTCCCAGCCTGAGGGCCTCTATCCACTTTCCTCATGCCATGTGTGATTTTATAAACTTCCGTCAACTCATCTCTTGCCTTTTATCTAAGCTGAAAAGTTCCAAATGCTGCAACCTTTCCAAATAGAGAATTGTTTTCCTCACAAGGAGCTGCAGTTTTATGGGAAAGTCGGATGGACAGGGGAAGGGGAAGATTGCATTTAAGCTGGGCAAAAATTAATTTATTGCATGGATATATTTCAAATATTAAAAATGCACTAGGGTTGGTTGTGCCCCCACCCCCGGCCACTGCTGCCCAATGGAATTTCACAGCCTCTAATAGTGATGTATTTTGGCACACACACAAAATGGGTGCATATGAGCAAAAAAGCAAAGTATATAAATGAATATTCTTCTATGCAATTACCCTTTAAATCCCAGAGGCTGCATGTATCTTTTACTTTCTAACATTGGTTCAATTCTGGTCGTATGAGCTGCTGTTAACACAACTTTTGCCAATACTTATATAGTGAGCTGGGGACACTGTGGGTTAAACCACAGAGCTTAGGACTTGCCGATCAGAAGGTCAGCGGTTTGAATCCCTGGGACGGGGTGAGCTCCCGTTCTTTGGTCCCAGCTCCTGCCAACCTAGCAGTTCGAAAGCACGTCAGAGTGCAAGTAGATAAATAGGTATCACTCCAGCAGGAAGGTAAACGGCATTTCTGTGCGCTGCTCTGGTTCGCCAGAAGTGGCTTAGTCATGCTGGCCACATGACCAGCTGTACACCGGCTGGCCACATGACCAGCTGTACACCGGCTCCCTCAGCCAATAAAGCGAGATGAGCGCCGCAACCCCAGAATCGGTCACGACTGGACCTAATGGTCAGGGGTCCCTTTACCTTTACCTATATAGTGAGCAGTTGCTCACTTTCCTCCTCTCAGTGCTGCTGTGGCTCTTGATTCTCTCCTTGGCTCACACCATAGGTATACCTTTGGCCATGGCTCTGCTTCTACATATTGCAGCTTTAAAGGGCTACTACATCTAGCCCATTAAGACTGACAGAGGGAATCTGTGAAGTGAGGGGTTGCTGAGAAAATTTTAAAATAGGGATGCAGAAAAGGGAGGCATGGGGAAGTCGGTGAAACAAGCTTAAGAAAAGGAGGTTATGAAATTATACGTGTTTATATGTCTTTTGTTTGTTTGTGTATTGTGAAGTGTATTGTGTTTATTTTATGTTGGAAAATCAATAAAAAAATTTTTTTAAAAAAAAGACTGACAGAGGGAATCTGAACCCCATTTACATCCACCTCAGTGCAGTCCAGCAGGTCAATGCTCTGCCGAGAGGCTGTGCAATCCAGCTGCTCTCTGGTAGAGTGTAAGTGTTTCTTTCACATGGCGCCCAGGTTAGCCACTTAGTAGTTTTTACTGGGGTTAACTTTACTTTCCTGAAGTGAGAAGCAAGTTGCAGTGCTTCCTTTAACATGCCTACACATGGCTAAGCTTTCAGATCTCACCTTGCGACCAGTGTAACTTTTTTACTTTTTCCTGTTGACTACTTGCCTCAGTAAATACATCTGAAGATTGCTTTCTTTGAATAAGAAAAGCAGCCCGTTGCCCTTTGTGAGCCACATTTGCTGCTTGACGTTGTGCCTAGTGCACCAACCTTTTGCCTCCCCCTGATCCTAGCCCATTATGAAAGCTGATATCTAGACTTAACTGGTGGCAAGTGTTAAAAATAGCAAGCAGATCAAACAGTTCCCCAGTAATAAATGACCTTAGCGGTGGATTGGAAATCTTGGCTGAGGATTCGGAGAAGAACCACAAATGGATTAGTTCTGGAGCCTTTTTGAATCTCAGATTTCTAGTTCCTTTAAGCCATTTCAGAAATGTGTATTGGCAAGCACATAGATAAACAAACAACTGATAGGCAGCTTCATTTCAGGATATGGTATAGTATCTAAAAAATGAAATTCGTTGCAAATGGTATTTTCAGTTTAAGGAGACTGGATGTTACAGGATCTTGAAGTTGGTTTATTTTTTATTTATTTATTTTAAAAAACAAGAAGTCCTAGATTCACTGTCCAAGGATTGTAGTGCAAATAATTTCTAGGACTCTAGCTGCATTCAGACACAATTACTGGGGTTCAGTTGCAAAACAAGACCTGTGCTTATGCACTTTTCCCTACCCCTTACTTTCTTCTCTTCTTGCGCTTGGCTTACTTGACCATTTCCTGCTTTGATCAAACCATAGTTTATCATTTTATCTGGACCAGCAAACAGTGGTTTGAGCAAGGCTTCCAAACCACAAACTAGCATCAAACTGTGACTTGCAATCCTGATTTGGAGTCTTAACTTCAACTGTCATGATTTGGATGTAATAGCAAACTACAGTTTAAGCAAATCAGGAATTTATGAAGCCACGTGCGCCAGGGTTTACTATAGCATAGGAGTTGTTATTATTGTTTGGATGATAGAAGTTACGTCTGAATACAATTTCTCTTTCTAGCCAAAATTTAAAGGATGAGTGTTGAAACTAACTCTTGTTGGTTTTCATCTGTTTTATCTACCTAACTTTTAGTGTGTTATGGGGGAACAGGTACTGTCTTTTCCCGAGAAAGGTAGAAGCTGCCATATGCTGAAGCGAGCTAGAGTGGAAAAATGGATCAAACATTAGACTGAGAAGACCTGGGTTAAATCATGAAACTTATGGATTTATGAGAGTCTCTCTCTTAGCCTAACCTTCCTTATGGGATAAATTTGAGGATTAGCATGGGATAGCTTGCATAAACTACCCAGGGCTTCTTGAAGAAGAGGCAGGATACAGATGTGGTGATAATAATCTGGGTCCATAATGATGTGGAACCATCTGGATGATGCACACATGATTCTGCAACGAAAAGGCTTATTTGTTTATGGCCTCATAACAAGGTTATCGGAGCCATTTACAGTATATCAGTATGAAAACAATAATGGGACTGCATTGGTTATTTAAAAGGCTTAGGTGACCTAGTGGTGGAAAGAAGACAAGGATGGCGCCAGGTGACCTTCTCTGTGAAGGCCATTCCATCACTAGGGTGCCTCCACCAAAAAGGCCCTCTCCCTGGTGGTGACCCACTTCGCTTTATTCGGTGGGGGCACTTGGATTGGGGCCTCCAAAGAACATCTTAAGATTCAGGTAGGTACGTATGGAAGACGATGGCTTTAAATTTAAACCAGCAATTTAAATTGGGCCCAGAAACAGACTGGAAGCCATCATGGAGTGATCCTCCTCAGGTTCCTCCATTGCACCACCACCCTAGCCTTCTGTTCCTTACGTTGACATTATATGTCTACCGAGCATGCTCAGTCCACAGGGTTCTTGCTGCCCTGTAAAGATTTGTGCACTTCCACAAACCTTGAAGTCCCACTGAGCATGGGAATACCTCTCTGTTGTGCATGGATATTACAAATTTATCTATAAAAGGATCAGCACATGGAGAACTCAGATCGCTATACTGTACAGTGGTACCCCGCAAGACGAACGCCTCGCAAGACGGAAAACCCGCTAGACGAAAGGGTTTTCCGTTTTGGAGGCGCTTCGCAAAACGAATTTCCCTATGGGCTTGCTTCGCAAGACGAAAGCCCATAGGGAAATCTCCGGGGACCTCTTTTAAATGCTAGCGGTGGGGAGCAAAGCCTTTCCCCCCCCTCCGGCCTTCAGAAGAGGTCCAGGAAGGCTGGCGGGGGCCGAAAGGCTTTGCTCCCCACCGCCAGCATTTTAAAAGCAGTCCGGGATAGCAGGGAAGCGCTTCCCGCTATCACGGACGGCTTTTGAAGGCAGGAGAGGTCCGCGAAGCCTGGGCGCGCGGATCTCAGCGCGCGCAGGCTTCGGCATGCCGGCAACTCACCGCAAGCAGCGGCAGCGCTGCCGCTGCTTGCGGAGAGGTCCGCGAAGCTTGGGCGCGCTGATCTCAGCGCACGCAGGCTTCGGCATGCCGGCAACTCACCGCAAGCAGCGGCAGCCTCCGCTGTCCGGGGCGATTTTAAAATGCCGCCCGCCAGCATTTTAAGATCGCCCCGGACAGCGGAGAAGCCCTCCGCTGTCCCGGGGTTTTTTAAAATGCTGGGGTGGGAAGAAAAGCCCTTGTCCCCCCCCCAGCCTTCAGAAGAGGTCGGGGGACAGACTGTCCCCGGACCTGGTCTGAAGTCGGTTTCCCTAGGAACGCATTAATTGATTTTCAATGCATTCCTATGGGAAACCGTGCATCGCAAGACGAAAAACTCGCAAGAAGAAAAAACTTGCGGAACGAATTAATTTCGTCTTGCGAGGCACCACTGTATAATGTTCAATTGTTAGTCTTTCTTTGAGAAATGTTCCCTTTTGATTCCCAGGTGCAGTTCCCTTATGAATGATACCTTTTATGAATGAAAGCTTTTTATGTTTCACTTGGATTACAGTTTTGTATTGAATTTTCTGCTCTCCCACCTACCTCTTCTAACCTACGGCAAGAATATTGTGCTGTCAGTGAGTCATGAAAAAAAACCCACAAAAAACCCACACACCCAGCACATTTCATTTGTGGGTACGTGCCAGGATTGGAATATTGGTTTCTCCTTTGTAGTTGCAGCTTTATTCGGAAGCTGGCGTAGCTCTCTTGCAACTGAATAACCCTAAGGATTTCCAAGAGCTGATCAACCAAGCTAAGAAGAACATGACTATAGAAGGGAAAGAACTGACGCTTAATCCTGCTTATTTATTATGGGATCTCAGTGCCATCAGCCAGGTAGGAGTCGTTCTCTGGTGTATGGGCATGCTATTATGGGAAAGCTTCATGAGATTGAGGTAACGGATGATGATGAAAACACTTTATAGTGTGACATAGAGAACTGGCAGCAATTTGAAAACTGTATTCCACACAGGAGTCAATGTGATGCCCTCCAGATCATGTCAGACCACAACTCCTGTCATCCCACACTAGTTACTGCTGGCCTTCTTTTGCAGGCTTCTGGCCTATGCTAGCTGAGGGAAGCAACATGGAATTGTTGTCAAATAGAGTTACACAGACCTTAATGATGGCAGTAGCAACAATGAAAGATAGCTAACAAGATGTGACACTTTAAATCCTTTACTGCTGATATCTTAAAACTTACTGTAGATGTGAGAGCCTGAATGGAAAATGGTAGAGGACACCCCCCACACAACCTTTTAAATTTCCTCAACCCTTCATGTATTTAGCTGTGAAAGGGGCGCATGTAGTTATCTCTGATAAGTTTTGCCCGAAGCCTGCCAGCTCTTTTCCTGGCTTGACATAAATTAATTTCCGGTTTTATACTTCAAAACCCCATTAGCTGACAAGCCTGTACACATGTCCCCTCCACCCTGAACTTATCTCTCTTTAGGCAAAGCACCACGTGAATCCGTCTTTGGTGTTTTAAAATGAATAATGGCAGCTTTTAGACGCAAATGTCGCTCTCATTCTGTCGGTATGGTTGTGTGTCACTGTCTTTTAATAGTCTAAACAGGATGAAGATGTTTCAGCCAGCCGTTTTGAAGACAATGAAGAGCTGCGGTATTCACTGCGATCAATAGAGAGGCATGCTCCCTGGGTACGACACATCTTCATAGCCACCAATGGGCAGATTCCTTCCTGGCTTAATTTGGATAACCCCCGGATATCTATAGTAACTCATCAGGTAAAAAGTGTCTGACTCTGTTATCTGGGAACTCTTGCCCTAAATTGCATCAGTAAGGAGTGTGTGATATACAGGCATATTTGTGTGAAGTTTTCTTTGCTGCAATTGCACTGTACATGTGAAACACTGACTTAAAATGTTGCATCCAAATGACATTTGGAAAGCGTTTTGAAACCTCTCATAAGATTCCCACCCACCCCCAATAATATTTCCTTTTATTATTCTAGGAGATATTTCAGAATTTGAGTCACCTACCCACTTTTAGTTCTCCTGCCATTGAAAGCCACATTCATCGCATTTCAGGTCTGTCCCAGAAGTTCATTTATTTAAATGATGATGTGATGTTTGGAAAGGATGTGTGGCCTGATGATTTCTTTAGTCACTCCAAGGGTCAAAAGGTAAGCCATCACAAATATATATATATATATATATATATATATATATATATATATATATTATTTGAGAGATCAGATACCTTTCTGTTGGAAACACACCTGGGAAGGCCGCCAACTTCCCAAGTCTCTGGGGCGTCTCTCTGATGGTCCTCCCTGGCTGTAAATCTCTCAGTCCAGAGAGACCAGTGATAAGCGACCCCTCTCTCCTGAGAAGAGCACACTCTGGCATATCATTGCAGAAGAAAGACTCAATCAGTAGCTCTAAAACTACTTTATTTACAGTCTATATACAAAGACTTCATCAGCACGTCTGTGCTCTTTGAGCACCAGTACAGAAACAGCAACACATTCAGAAGTGAAACCAACTTCCAACAGTACTGAGACTTCCTTTCTCACGCTCTCTCAGACACTCACATGAGTAACACATGGTGCTACTACTGGAGCAGCACGGATGCATAGAAATTCTAACACTTTCGTCATTTAGGAGATGCCTAGTTTGATTTTGCTTTCACCAAGCTTGACAGTGACTAACATGAGAACAAAACTTATGAATGGTGAGGTTAATAAGCCAGAATATGCACAAGCCATGTGCACTTGCAAACAGCCCTTTCGCTGCTTTTTCTGTGTGAGCAGAAAAACAAAGCGGGAAGCCAGTTAATCATAGCTTCCCATTACATTTATGAGGGGTTTGCAAGTCTGGCTTGTTTAGAAACCATTAACTATATTACCTGGTTTGTGTGTATTGGCAGGTGTGGTTCATTTTGACTTCCCGGTGTGTTTCGTATGATGGAGCTCATGCATGTTGTGGTTTATTAAACCATGTTTTGATGGTGCAAATGCAATCAGTTTGGTTTTCCAATGGTAACTGACCTCTAAAAACCAGAATATCTAAAGCAACATTTTGGATTGCGGAGATGGGGGTAAAGGTGCAATGAGTAATCTCTACTGGATATATTAAATCGCAAAGCTCTTAGTGCAAAAACACAAAAACATCTAAAAATGATTAACTATGTAAGAATTATTTACTATTTGTTACTTAGATTCTGTTTCCCTAGTCCAAAATATCCATCTATTTGCAACTAGGGTGCCAAGTATTTCTGTATCGCTGCTGGCAAGTATTTTGAAGGGTGACCCTGTGAATAATACATGGTTTATGCACCTTTTATAAGTGATGCAGAATGCATGTGCCTTTGTACTTGGGTGCTGGACTCAGAATTCAGAATGCATTGTGAGAAGTTTCCCTCAGGATCAGTTTGATGCTTTTTGGCCACATCCTGGAAAGTATCTGCTTCCTCTTGTGCGTCAAGACTTGGGCAGTGATATCCATTTGTGGGAGCTTGCTCACACAACAACCATTCCACCAGCGCAGGGGTACGGAAACTCTTGCTCGTTGGCCAAATTTGACCCAGCAGGTTTGCCCTGTGAGGCTGTTGCTCTCAAAACTTCACACACCTGCCCCACACCTGACAGCTGAACTTTTGTTATTGGAGCAAGGTGCAACCGCTCATCAGCTGGCGACAATGGGAGTTCATTTTGCTCCAGGAGCATGAAGTTGTTTGCATTGAAACTGCTGCTCAAGCAAAGGGGGAATAGTTCCAGTCTAGCAGCCATTTCAGTGCAAGCTTTGACAGGTGGGCAAGGCAGCCTGCCTGTCAATCATCTGACATCACAATGACACCAGGTGATTGACTGCCCCAGCTACCTTTGAAAGTTGGCCCAAAGATCTGCCCCCCATGAGCCAGAAAGCTTCCTCATCCCTCGCCTACCAAGACTCTTGCTCTTAGTGTAGTGCAACAAATGAGTGTCTTGCCCTTGGGAAATACGCTGTGCAGCTCCTGCTATTATTATTTCTTTGTGACACTTGTACATTACTATTTTCACTAACGCTAGCACAACAACATCAACTCTCTAATTTCTGGTGCTAATGTTACGTTGGCTCTCACTCTTAATAAGTATCTTTCCACTCGTCTGAGTGCTATTGAAAAGGACGTGTTGCCATGCAAAAATAGCGACACATCAAATAATGTGATTTAATGTCCCTTTCCCTTTTGTATGCCTTCACTCACTCGAGCAGTATGGCTAAAAAGAGAGAAAAGCTGGAGAGTTTATATCTCCAAAGAAGGGATATTGTATAGATTGAAAACATTCTGAAAATAGAAAGAAGAGGATGGAGAATCAATATTATTATTATTTTGTAAAAATATAGCAGGTTGACATCCTTGGAAAGGCAGATAGTCAGATAAAAGTAAAGCAGGTTAGTTTAGCTTTAAACTAGCTGTATTCATCCATCTAATTACTGGTACTGTTGGGCAACAATTGAGGCTGAATGTCAGATAACTTCAAATCAAGTAGAGGTCAGTGTTTCGGTCCCCAAGAAATTTCCCATTCACCTTTAGAGTACAAACATAGGAATTGCAAATCAGTTTGCTGTGTAGAAGTGAATTTAAATACGTTCCTAGGAGCTGTGAGAATAAAGTGGTTTTGTCTCCATTATCAGGTTTACTTGACTTGGCCTGTTCCAAACTGTGCTGAAGGATGCCCTGGTTCGTGGATCAAAGATGGCTACTGTGATAAAGCCTGTAACAATTCTGCTTGTGATTGGGATGGTGGTGACTGCATTGGTAAGGAAACCTGGCCTTTTGCATTTCAGAAGTCCGGAGACTGTGATATATTATTTTGCAAATGTGAAGAGAACTCGTGGGTAGCTCTAGATGTAAGCTCACATTTGAAAAAGCCCATTTGCTTTCACAGTGCACTCTTGTCTCAGCACTAAATCGCAATAGTGAGCAGCATTGACTCTGGGTGTCTTCTGTGTAAAGGAAAAGGGGGCACTAGATATAATCACACTTTTCCTGGAGAGAGTAATCCATGCAGGAAAAAAGAGTATGCCACCGTGTGAAAAATGTTCTTTTTTTGGCAAGTCAGGTAGCTGATGCTTTTCTAGTTGGGATGTAGCATTCCTAACCTTAGGGCAGATTGTTGTATTTTGACAACAGAGATTCAGTGGTGGTTAGCCAAATAATTTTGCTCCAGATTTTGTCTTTTTTATCTGTACTTTTTTTTAGGATAATTTGTTGGCTAGGCTTGAGCTTCCCTGTTTTCCAGACAGTGGACATAAGAGATGCAGACCTCCCCTCCCTCATGCTTGCAAAATTGATAACCTTAGGAATGTATTGGTTTCCTGTATAAAGTATCCTTTAATTTATAGCATACAGAAGTGGATCATGAGTTAAGAACCATGCTGGGGTCTGTTTTCAGAAATGCTTAACCAACTCTTAACTTGTACACTTGAGGCTTTTTTAAAAGCAGCAGTGAGCAGTTTTCTACACTGTGTTTCCCTTTTTCTTTTATAGGTAGTAGTATCGGTAACCGTTATGGTGCAGGTGGTGGAGCTGGTGTCGGTGTCGGGAATGTCGCTCCCTGGCAGTTTGGGGCAGGAATAAGTGGAGTTTCTTACTGCAACCAAGGCTGTGCAAACTCATGGCTGGCTGATAAATTCTGCGACCAGGCATGCAACGTCCTTTCTTGTGGATTTGACGCTGGCGACTGTGGACAAGGTATGTTAAAACAAATGGAGTCCCTGCAGCCTTTTGGCTCTTCCATACTGTTTAATGCATGTCTGGTGCGGTCATTCGGTCTAGATTGATGGAAGGGAGTTGCTAGATTTAACTGTACTTTGACTACATTTGAGAGGGAGGGGGGAAAGAGAGAGAGAGTCCATCCAATGTCCATCCAGTGATGAACTCATAATATCACGTCCAAGTTAGTCCAGTGTAAGAGAGAAAGAAGGGGGGAAGAGATGCCCAATATTAATATGTATGGACTAGCTCCTCTGAATCTTTCCTTCCTATTTAAATGTTTAGCTCTGCCTTGGCTGTAAAGAGTTATTGAAGGCAGACCTCATGCTTGAAAGACACACTTAGACTTTATTTTTAAAAATATATTTATTTGTTCATTTATGCCATTTATCTATTTGCACAGACTAGGTGGAGCTGTACCTTTATGAATATTTTGAATTAAGGTTTAATTCTTTCTATTCCTTCAATCCATCTCAAACCATTATTTATTTTAAGATGTTGCACTATATTTTGCTTTTGTTTCATTTTCTTATGTGTATCATTATTTAGTACATATTATTTGTAGTTTGGTTAGTTTGTTGTATTCTTCTATGATTTTCTGTGTTATATTGGCTTGACACCAAATCAGTTACAGTACTGTGTACGTTAGCATTATGGAAATTCCAATTCTGGTGTTTTACAACTCTTTATTTTGGAAAAGTGATGTTTGTTGTTCTTAATGTTAAAAAATCAATAACAATTATTTTAATAATAATAATAATAATAATAATAATAATAATAATAATAATAAATAACTGCAAGCATTGTGGAAGAAGAGCAGCATGAAAATGAAGATGATACAAATAATTCTCCAGAGATTGTAATGTTTTATGTAGTTTTAAATTGTATTTTTATTGTGTGTTTGATATGTGACTTGTAAACCACTTTAGGGATAAATTTTCTTTAAAAGCAATGTGCAAATAAGCCATATAAGTAAACACATTTATGTTTTTCCAGATCACTTTGATGAGCTGTACAAAGTGACTCTTCAAAAGAACCAGACTCACTATGTCATTCCAAAAGGCGAATATTTGCCCTTTTTCAGTTTTGCTGGAATAGCTAAGAAAGGGCTTGATGGCGCCTATAGTGATAACCCAATAATCCGCCATGCTTCCATCGCTAACAAATGGAAGACCATCCACCTGATAATGCACAGCGGAATGAATGCAACTGTGATCCACTTCAACCTTACATTTCAAGGTAAAGAGGATGAAGAGTTCAAGATGCAGATCACCCTGGAAGTTGATACAAGAGAAGAGCCAAAAGTAAACACAACGTCTACCCAGAAACCTGAAGGTGATGCAAAAGCTGCAACTTTGGTGCCAGAAGCTGAAATGATATTTGAGGATATCCCCGAAGAAGAACGTTTCCCAAGAATCAGAAGCCACCCAAATGGCACAACAGAGAATCTGGACGGGGACATAGTAATTCAACTGCTTAACATTTCTGCCCTTCCGGAAGATGTGAGGCTGGCCCTACAGAACCTAGATGTGCAGCTAGCTATTGGTGACATCACACAGAAAGGGTACAATCTGTCTAAGGCGGCTCTCCTGAAATCCTTAGGGATGGTACCAGCAACAACGAGGGCTGCATTAAACAATTCCCAGAAGATAAGGGGAAAGGAAGCAGTTGACGGCTTGGAAAATGGGAAGAATCACACGATTTGGCAGAAACCTGACCAAGATGCCAGGGATGGCGGAAGAGCTGTAGAAAGAAGAATGCATGATACTTTTCCACTGGAGTTCAAACAAGTAAATACTACTCCAGTGGCTATGAAGGTGAACAGCCATTTCCCGCTAAGACACGGCTCTGTGGTAAAATCTAAATCTGTACCTTTAACCCAGAATACGGGTGAGCGACTTGAATCTCCAGAGAAAATCCTAAATGTCCTTGTACAGAAAGAAGCTCAGAAGACAAAAGAAATGAGGGAAGGAAAAACTGCAGGGAGAAAAAAGGAAGAGGCGGGTGCCATGGAGGACGTAGCCGAAAGTCAAGGCTTACCACGAAGGAAATTGCAGCATTACACTGGAAATTACCGAGGCTTTTTGCCATGGGAGAAACAGAAATACTTCCAAGACCTTCTTGATGTGAGTATATCAAATGGGTAGGATAGTGTCAAGCAAGGAGGATTAAAATAATCTAGGTGCGGAAACATTCCTCTATATCCAGGTATTTGATGGCTGTAGGACCTGTAAGACCCCTGGCCACCCTGATTTTTTTAGTTTTGAGAGTAGGAGATTGCTTTTAGATGTTTTAATTGTATTTTAATATTGGCATGTTTGAGACTAATGTACGCATGATTTGCATTCTTGTTTTCCAGGAAGAAGAAGCGTTAAGGAGGGAGATGGCTTATTTCACAGATAGTAAACTGGTTGGAAGGCAGCTGAAAGACACATTTGCCGATTCTCTCAGATACGTAAACAAGCTTTTAAACAGCAAATTCGGATTCACGTCTCGCAAAGTCCCTGCTCATATGCCTCACATGATTGACAGAAAAGTCATGCAAGAACTGCAGGATCTGTAAGTCTGACATAGAGGAAAATCGTAACCCTTGCATTTGAAATATAGATATCCCAAGTTGGATCTGCCTAAATATCAAGTGAAATAAGGGAGAAATATGAGCTCTTCTTCTCACAGGTAGTAAGTGAAGAGGCTAACCTGTTTCTGGGCTGCAGCACTTGAGATTGTAGGTGAGGGCTCCCACAGTGAAACACTCATCCATACTAGCAAACTTAGATTCAGGTTCTAGGCCCAGCCTTCTTCCTGTCTTCTGTATAGAAAATATTGAAGGAGGGGGAGGTTATATTGTGGATATTTCCATCCTATGAGCTCCCCATCCTCTTGTCTCCAGTGGTGCAGCCCTGAAATAGGTTTACCTCATCTGCCATTGTTTTGAGACAAATTTTTTGTCTTGTTTTTGCCTTATCATTGCATGCAGGGCTTACACACACCCACACACACCCACACACACACACCCTTTCTTGCCTTTGTTGGCTTATCTTCTGTGTTGAAAGGATAAGGTTTCTCACCTGGGGATGCTTCTGAAGCCATCTTTGTCACTAGAAGCCTCTTTGCAGCTCCAACTTACTTGCCAGCTATGGTCTTCCCTAGACAGGGAAGGATGGCTACAGCTGCAATAACTTCCAGATTGGACTTACGATGTGTTTTGCATGCAGCTGGCCTTGAAAACAGTCCAGAGGTTGCAACTGGCGGGAAATGCAGCGACCAGGGTGTTAGTGGGTGCTGCTGGTTGTCCACTTGTAGCACCTCTTCTGAAAGAATTCTATAGGTTGGCAGTTGTCTTCCAGGTCCAATTGAAGCTGCTTATGATGACATTTAAAGCTCTAAATGACATTGGCCTATCTGAAAGAGTGTCTCCTCCCATACTAACTGGATAACACCCAGATCCCCAGATCTGCTGGGGGATGCCTCTTGGTAGTCCTAGTCCCTAATTAATGTTTTTAGGAGGCTTATGGGGTGAGGAACCTTGGGAGAGCTTTTTGTGGCTGACTTATATGGACAGGTTATTCAAGTTTTCTGTAAAGCCGATTTAGATGATTTTCGATGTTTCTGGACAGGTTTCCTGCGGAATTTGACAAGACCTCCTTCCACAAAGTGCGGCACTCCGAAGATATGCAGTTTGCCTTTTCATATTTCTACTATCTCATGAGTGCAGTTCAGCCACTGAACATTTCCCAGGTTTTTGATGAAGTTGATACGGATCGGTCTGGGATTTTATCTGACCGGGAGATTCGTACATTGGCCACAAGAATTCATGAACTCCCTCTAAGCTTGCAGGTAATATTTTATTTTTTAATACCCCAATGAAATTCTGTACAGAGGAGGGAAAGTTAATGAAAAGTAGACGTTACAGATGTTGTTTGTTCAGTGGCATCTTAACACTTCTGTGTTTGTATCTGTTTAAATACTACTTATTCAGATTTTGTCAAAAAGCAATTGATTAAATTAAGGAGATGCATTAGAATATAAAGGGAAAGTGTAGTGTTCTTATTACTGGAACATGATTATAGGGACATTTTGATGCATTGGTGAAGATAGGGAATCTCACCAAACTTGGAAGCAAACTTCCTGTCTTGCTCCTGTTCTGATGAATTACACTTAAATTTTTTAGAAAATACAGGTTGGAGCAGCAACAAATTGTTGCATTGTGGAAGATTTCTAGTCGGCATACCAACCAGTTGTGGCCTTTTCCAGAATCATAAAAATTGTGAATTTGTGTGCCACTTTTCTATTGTATACCATGGTCAAAGCTGCTTATAACATCCAAAATATGTAGAATTGTAGAGTTGGCAGGGAGCTGAGGGTCATCTAGTTCAACCCCCTGCAATACACGAATCTCAACTAAAGCATCCATAACAGATGTCCATCCAACCTAAACCTCCACCACCTTCCGAGGGAGACCATTCCACTGTTGGAACAGCTCTGAACCATCAAAAATCATTCCTGATGTTTAAGTTGGAATCTTCTTTCTTGTAACTTTGAGTCCTAGCCTCTGGAGCAGGAGAAAACAAGCTGGCTCCATCTTCATTATAATCTCTTCTCTCTGCTCTCCCTCTGGTGAAATAGGAATATAAGAGCCCTGCTGGATGAGCCCAAAGGCCTATCTAGTTCAATTCTGCACAGAGGTGCTTATGGTAAGCCCACAAACAGGGCTTACCTGCTCTCACTTGCTCTTTAGCAGCTGGTATTCACTGGTGTTGTGCCTCTAATCCTCGAGGTGGTATATCGTCATCATGACAAGTAGCTATATCCTCCATGAACTTGTCTAATCCTCTTTTAAAACCACCTAGATGTTGGGGAGAAAGTTTGTACCCTAGCCTTCTCCCAGTTATCTCATTCCTGTGTGAGTGACTTTTAAAACCATTGTTTGAGGGAATGTATGAGCTCCCACCTGCAGTCTGAAAAAGAGCCCAGGCTCACTGATGTAGTGAAATAGACTTTCATAAGCAAAAGTCATGGTTGTGTGTAAGTGTGCAGTAAAGCTCATCCATGCAGAGAAAGAAAATGCATAACCTTTTCTTTTCCCCCCCCTTGCTAGGATTTGACAGGTCTGGAGCAAATGCTAATAAATTGTTCTAAATCCCTTCCATTCAATATCACTCGGATTCACAACATACCACCAACTCAGGAGGCATATTATGACCCCAATCTGGTAAGGAACTGTTGCAAACATACTTTCATCTCCCTCTCCAATTGGTGCAGACTGGCATTTCAAAAAACAGCTTTCAAAATATGTGGTATAATTTCAGGTGGTCAAAAGCCGATGTTTAAATCCCTGCATTCAGTAATCTGAGATGTCTTGCTCCCCATTAATTTCTTTTGTGAGCAGATCTCCCTACTTCAGACATGCACACAGCTTGAACTTGTCCATTGATTTTATTTGTGATTTAAGAGCGAACCTCCCTCCCTCCTCAATAGAGTACCAAGAGCTGCTGCTGAATGCCCTCTAAATTTCAAAAACACCTAGTCCTATAACACAGAACAGCTGTAATTCAAGGACAAAAGAAACACTAAACCAGCTGGAGAAATTATTTGGGAGCCAAGTACCTAAAGGATCACCTCTCCCAGTATCAATCATCACACGTCCTGCGATCAGAAGGGAAGGCCTTGTTGGTGGTGCTGCCTCTGGTTGCTGCCCAGTTAGCCTTGATCCATGACAGGGCCTTCTCAGTGGTGGTTCCCCATTTATAGAACGCCCTTCCTCGTGATGTCCGTCCACCTCCCTCATCATTGACTTTCAGGGGAAATTTAAAAAGATTTCTGTTTACCCAAAAAAATGATGGCTGATGGAAACTGGCCATGGCAACTGTGAAATTAATTACTGTGAGGATATATTTTGACATGCGTTTAGTTGTTCTAAACGCTTATGGTTTTGAATTCATAGAATCATAGAATATTGGAGTTGAAAGGGACCCTGAGGATCATTTAGTCCAACCCCCTGCAATGCAGGAATCTCAGCTAAAGCATCCATGACAGCTGGCCATCCAACCTCTGTTTAAAAACCTGCAAGGAAGGAGAGTCCACCACCTTCCAAGGGAGACCATTTCACTATTGGAACAGCTCTGAACCATCAAAAAGTCCTTCCTGATGTTTAAGTAGGAACCTCCTTTCTTGCAACTTGAAGCCATTGGTTTGAGTCCTAGCCTCCAGAGCAGGAGAAAACAAGCATGCTCCCTCCTCCATGTGACAGCCCTTAAGATATTTGAAGATGGCTATCATATCTCCTCTCAGTAACCCACCCCCTCCATTTAGCATTGCATCCTTTAGGAGGCTAACAGTACAGTCCTATGCATGTCTACTCAAAAATAAGCCCCATAGTGTTCAGGCAGTAGCAGATGGTATTGTGGTGGCACTGTACTACTCACCTGACCTCTGGCCATCCAACAGGAAGGGTAAGGCCGCAGTGAGGTTGGTGCGATGCAAATATGCCAGCAGGATTGGCTCCACCAATGCATTTGCACCATGCCAACCTTGCTGCTGCCACTTCCTCCTCTTAGTCACTATATGCAGCAGTGACCCAGCCAGAAAGACGTCAGGTGAGCGGTGCAGCCCCAGCACACCGTCTGCTACAGCCCCTGGGTGAGTCTGCATAGGACTGCAGCCTAATTTGCTTAGAATTTTCCATCATGATTATTGTTTTTGTTGCTGTTCCTGCATAGCGGTTGACAAAACACAGGAGGGCAGGTCCCTGGCCCGAGGAGTTCACAGTATAAAAGTTGACATGAGAGAGTGCAACAGAGGAGTGGATGGGAAGGGAGGGACAAACTAAGCATGAAATTTATTTTAACTACATAACAGCTTGGTTATGATAAAGTAAGAACCCTTCTTATTAAATAAGCTCAATTCTGTTATGTTTTTTCTGTATCCCTCCTTTTACTGTGTCTTAATGCCCTTGATAAACACTTCTAACAATCTGCCATTTGATTTCCTTAAATAAATATCTACTAAATATAGCATCATAATTAATATCTTTTGTTTCTAACATCATGACTGAAGTTATTTTTGAAATGTTTCAGTTAGGAGAGTTGTTTCTCAGAATTGCTTGTGACTGGATTAGAAATCATAAGACTAATATATACCAGCTGTTCAGATCTCACTTGGAGTAGTTTCCTGGTTGACATTGATTGGCTTGCACCGTAGCATTTTTCTGCCTCCCTGCAGAATACTGGATTAAATGTCTTGTTACTTATGAAATACAAAAAGTTATTTGTTTTCCATATCATCAGTATTAATCCCAAGAACCTTTGCTGATCAGCAGCAAAAAAAGACAATATTTTAATAAGGAAAGCAGACAACTAGCTGGGAGTTCGCTACATCATGATTCCATTTAAAATACAGAAAAACAATATGCATAAATAACCAACCAACCAATTAATTGATTGTTTGCCCCATTTTCAGCCCCCAGTGACAAAAAATCTGCTAACCAACTGCAAGCTTGTGACTGACAGAATTCATAAAACGTATAAGGACAAAAACAAATACAGGTATCCAGTATTATTTTACTTCAGTTGTGACAGACATATAGAAACACCTAAGGGTGGAGACCCCGTGACCCTCCAGATATTGTTGGACTCCAGCTCCCATAAGCATCAGCCAGCAATGGCCAATAGGGATGATGGGAATTGTAGTCCAGCCTTGTCTGCAGAGCCAGAGGTTCCCTACTCTCGACCTATAGAATAACTTGTATGTGTTTATTTAAAGGCTCCTTGGTAAGTGCAGCATGACGTGATAGAAGTAAAAGTGCTTTCTGTTTAAAATGTGATTAATTATAAATGATTATTTATCCATGGTTGATCTTGAAAGTCATGCTGAATTATCCTCAAGCAGGCCACTGTACACACCTGGTGGCATCTCTTACAGAGATACCTGTTGGGTTGAGTCATGCAGTAAGCCCAAGAGAAGAGGGAATTGCATGCTTAATAGAGTTAACAGGAAATGGGAGGGAGGTTGCACCTGTAATAGGAAAACGTGCTTGAGGCAAGGCCAATGAAGTGCAATTAAATTTTAATAAGTGGTTTCTCAACGTGTTTTGGCTGACTTCAGCAGCTAGGCAGACACAAGTTACATCATTTTCTAATACGCTTTATGCTGTGTCTTCAGGTATGATTGTGATCCCTTTGGGGCACTTTTAGGCTTGTGTCCCTGCACAAAGGGAACAATCCTTCTGAGCCGTGGTGCACTGCCTATGCAAGGATGTATCCCCTTACTGCTCTCCTATTTTGTCTTCTCTTCCCCTTCTGCACATGTGCAGTGCTCCAAGGCATTCTGGGGGCATTTGTAAGTCTGTGCCTCTGCCTCCTTGGTCTGGGGCTGGGCGGGGACACAGACCTCCCCATCTTGTAATGCCCTCCATGCCAGTATGGATCCCAGATGGACACTAGGGGTGGTGTATAGAAAGGACTACAGTGGTACCTCAGGTTACATACGCTTCAGGTTACAGACTCCGCTAACACAGAAATAGTGCTTCAGGTTAAGAACTTTGCTTCAGGATGAGAACAGAAATTGTGCTCCGGTGGCGCAGCAGCGGGAGGCCCCATTAGCTAAAGTGGTGCTTCAGGTTAAGAACAGTTTCAGGTTAAGAACAGACCTCCAGAACGAATTAAGTACTTAACCCGAGGTACCGCTGTACTCACATTAGAAAGCATCATCCCCAAACCATAAATGAGAATTAATAGTGTTGGTTTTTTTTAAATGCGGAACATACGTTTTTACAGAAGTGCTGTAGTCATCAGGCTCTGTTTTCTTGTATGAGTAAATATAGAAAAATGGTAAAAACCAATATGGGCACGGGGCTACCCATTTATACAATAAAAATTCCTTTTAACACAAGTGACACCGTTGTTGTAAATCCTTTGTGCGCATTTACTGTTATGTTTTCCTATATAATGCTAAGGTTTGAAATCATGGGAGAGGAGGAAGTTGCCTTCAAAATGATCCGCACCAATGTTTCTCATGTAGTCGGACAGCTTGATGACATACGAAAAAATCCCAGGTATGCAATTCTCATTCAGATTTGAGGTAAAATGTTTATTAATTGTGGTTTGCTTGAAGAAAGCAAACAACAGTCAGTGGTTTGGACATAATGCTAATGCTAAAGCTAGAGACTAAGGTTTGCTTCTCCCAGCAAGAGTGGGAAGAAGCAAAGTAGGCATTATCGACTCTGCTTTGGTAATCTATTAACTACTTTTAATGTGATGCCTAAGAATCCCTAGAAACCTAATACAATGAAACAATTTTTCTTATAATATTAGGCCCTCAAACACCTTGAAATGATCTTGAAACTATATAGAAGGATTGCTTTTGTAGGAATCATATATTTCTACACAAAACTGCTGCTATTTTATGATCCATTATTATGTACAATAAATACTCTGAAACTTTCTTATTTTGTATGCAAGAGAGACCCAGGCTACTGAAGGTTTTTTAGAAAACAAATTGAGATATGGGAGTGTGTCGTTTGCAGATAACAGCTTACTACTTGTCCCAACCAATAAGAACGTTGGTTTTCTTGATTATTTTTTTCCTCTCAGAAAATTTGTTTGCCTCAACGACAACATTGATCACAATCATAAGGATGCTCAGACAGTAAAGGCAGTGCTTAGGGATTTCTATGAATCAATGTTTCCCATACCATCCCAATTTGAGCTGCCCAGAGAGTATCGGAATCGTTTTCTTCACACCCAGGAGCTTCAAGAATGGTAAGTGTTTCATATGAGCATACTGGGGATGCGATCTTCAGGATACTGTTCAGCTGGTTCAAAATGTGGCCACCAGATTCCTGATCAGTGTTTGGCAATCTGCTTTAACAACACCTACATTATATCAGTGTGTTCCTGGCTCCCAGTGAGTCTCAATTTAAAGTGCTGGTCTAAACCTTAAAAACCTTAAATGGTTTAGGCCTGAGCTATCTGATGGACCTCCTGCACTTATATTATCCTGTCCACACACTGATATCTCAGTTGGAGGCTACCTCCAAGGTCTATGAAATAGAGAACCATAAGAGAAAAAGAGGTGGTCTTTTCTGTGGTGGCTCCACACTTTTGGAACTCTGTCACAGGAGAGTTGTGGCAAGCAGCTACATTTCAGGCTTTCAGTCAGGCCTTATACTCTTGTTTTCATTTACCTTCCCTGAGCAGTGTTTTGTTCTGGTCACCAGAGAAAGCTGGATTTTTATTATGCTACTGGACTTCTGAATTTGTTTCTAACTTTTTGAGTCTGATTTATTCTTGGTTTTGGTAATAATTGATTTTTTTATTCTTGTAGTTTTTGTTGCTTCTAAAATGCTTTGAATAGGCTTTTCCTGGAAAAGTGGCATATTAATATTTTAAAATAAATGTTATGTTTCTAGGAATATATAGATATTTAATACTATTTTGTTCTTTTAAAAATGCTGTGTTTAGGAGGGCCTACAGAGACAAGCTGAAGTTCTGGACGCATTGTGTGTTAGTGACGTTGATTGTGTTCACTGTCACCTCGTTTTTTGCTGAGCAGGTAAAAGATATAATTTTATGCAAATATTAAACTTTCTTAGGATATCACTCTTGCTAAACCATATCACGAAAAGTCCCAGTAAAGGGTTTTGTAAAATATATTAAGCCAGGGTTACTGTTTTAGCCTGTTTGCACCGGCCGCTGCATGTCACATAAAATGAGTTCAGCAAAGGTTGTGGAGCAGCAATGGTGGAAAAGGTAGCAGTGGAGAGAGAGCAGAGAGTTGACTGGATGGCTTAAAACACTCCATCCAACTCTGATTCAGTGAGAGACACTGAGACTACATTCATGAGAACAAAAGCATTCAGTAGATGTTAGTCCAGTTGGCGTTCCTTACATCTGTGTAGCTGGAGTCAGTTTCTGCTGCTTCAGTTCAACTAAGATCAGATCTTCTTTGCATAGGGGGGGCATTTAAGGAACAGTGTGCATAAACAGGTGTGGGAGTTAATCTAAAAAGCTGGGTCCAGGAATAAAGATACACATCACATTCTCAATAATACCAAATATCTATTCTGGAGGGGTGTATAAGGAGGACTGAATCCAGTCTTCTGTTCTTTAAATCTTCCCCTTCTCCAGATAAGTGCTGTTGCCAGCAAATTGGTGTGAGATGCACATAAACTCCTGGATCAAGTGAGGAAATGTATACAGGAGCCACTCTTGAACATGCATGTTACTGAGTCATTTATGTGTAAACATATGCTCCCCAGTTTGCCCCCACAAGATACATTATGTTGTGAAGTCTGTTCTGATCTCCAGAGGTGAAATAGTCCACCATGGAAATAGCTGTGCCAGGCAGAGGCATCCTGAGAAGGAGGGGAACGGAAAAGAACCATGTGATTGTTTTGATTTTGCCAAGTATTCATTTGCGCACAAACATGTTCTTTATTTTTTCAGTTAATAGCCTTCAAACGAAAGTTCTTTCCAAGGAGAAGGATTCAAAAAGAAGTTTGCCCTGAAAGGATGAAGGTCTAGAAGACTTCTGTTGTAAATCAGTCTACCTCAACATGTGATGAGCATGTACAATGTTTCGTCTCAGAAGTGTCTTGATAGTTGTGTGCCGGGCATGAACAGAAGTGTCACCATCCATTACAGCTTTTGTGGCTCTGTGTATGACACCTATGCTACTGAACAGCCAGAGAATTGGGCCCCTAGGAGGATCGGTGAGGTTCTGGATCCAGAAGACCCAAAGCCACCAGTGCCCAACCCTATTTTGTGACATTAGCACTTGCTACTGCCAGTGCGGGGAAGCTGCTGGTAGTAGCTTTCCATGTACTTGGCTGAAGCTGGGACCAGTGCAGGCTTGGCAGAGAGGCAAATATTCACCATCCTAACCATTGCCCAGCTATCAGCATAAGAGGGGATGTTTTAGGAATGTGCTCTTACAGACAGTGTGAGGAAGGGTTGTGTTGCCAGCTCTCAGACGGTTGCAATTCACAAACATAATTTCCAGAGTGCATTATCCTTTTTTATAAAAAGGGTTACTGAAAGAAACATAGCTGCATTTGTTGCAGTAGCCTTTGCCAACTAAATAATAATGTTGGATATAGAATCTTCTGTTAGATGTGTCCTTGAGCTTGCATCCCAAGGCATTTGGTGTGCCATTGACCGTTCAGTCAGTTAACCTTTCCCTCTATGTTTTGAACAGTAAAGCACAGCTGTAAACTTGCCTCTTGAGTACATGGAGGGCAGGATATGAACTGACTCCCACAACACTCCATTGTAACTGCCACCTACACAATTTCTCAGGCCTTGTTATGTTATATATTCCCCATGGTAGCCAGTCCATTGAACATAGGGCTTACCATGTTTGTTGTTCCTCAGGCTCCTGACCAATAGGCTACTTTGAAAGAGCAGGACGAGAGCTCCACACGGAAAGCATAAGAGAGAATGAGCTTCTGGGAGTTTCTAGGAAAGTCCAGGTATCCCTGTTAACACAAATCCCTGATTGGAATAGCAGCAGCTTGATGTGAGGATAGCCCTAACGTAGATCTTTTGAGCAGCTGTGCATCCATTTCTTCATGTGCAGAGGAACAGGATAGTAGCCTTCATGTCTGTCCCCACCCCCATTAAGGTACCCTCTTCATTTTGTAAAGTATATCTAGTTTAAATATAAGGCGGATTCATCTATAGAATGAAGGATTAGAATGATGAAGTCCTATTTGCTATATTGTTCTGCTGCTAGACTATGAAAAAATGGTATTTAAATACATTTGATTCTTTTCTTTGTATAATGCCTTTATTGATCAAAATATAAACTGCAGCTCAATCTACTCCATTCAGTTTCTAGAAACACTAGTAAGAATTGTACGTCTAATTAAAAAAATTAGTGCTATAAACAAAAGGGGCTTGGCTGCATTATGTGTACAAGCAGTGTATATTTAGCAGCAAAAGTGCCTCTCCATATAAGTTTTCAATACTTTGTATTGTTTTAACGGTATAACTAAGAGCATGACACTCAGCCATTTTTTCATATCAAGCATTCATTTTCAAAAATTCAGACATACAAATAGTCTAGTGATCTGCCCTATTATGTCAAAACAAATCTCAGACCAGGAAAAGAAAAGGAATTTTTGTCCCAAACAGATTATTTTAAAAGAAATGTCTTTAATCATGATATTAACAACTTTTCAGGATTATAATCACCTCAGTAATTATTTTATCATGAAGATGGGGAATTTTCAGTGTACATGTGCTGTAAAATATATGCTTTCTTTTAACAGATGTTTTTGATTTAAAAATGTTATATTGTGTGTGTCAAGAAAAATGATCAAGTATTTAATGCTCTGAAAAGTGGTTAAGTATTTTTAAATCAAAAAGGCACCTTATTCTTTATCAAGTGCATACACCTAATTTTTAAAGAAATAAATCTAGTTTAGCTTCTTTAAATGCTACTTGTTTTGCCTGTCTTAAAAAGCAAAGCTTCATTTCACAATAAACTTTAAATCAGCAATTGCATTGTGGCTCTACTCACAACACTGAACTATGTTGTTATGTGTCCACTGGAGTTCTGCTGTGGACAACATTGTCCACCCACACCCTGGTTTGTGTCTACTATACTGTGTAGTGACCTCCAAATTAGGAAGACCGTGATTAATGCTAACTAGCTTGTGTCCAAACCGAAATCAAACTTGACTTTGGTAAATACAGTTACTCTGTCAAGCAGCTCATTGGTCCAATATTTCGGGTTGGCAAGTAAATAAATTCTAGTCTGGGTACAAGTTCAACTGTACATAGAGAGCTAAACTAAATGTTACACACAGATGCACACCTGACTGCTTTAAAAGAAGAAGAAAAAGTTTGAGGACAGCATCAGTGGGGGACCAGGAATGGGAAAGTAGCAAGGCTAGAGGAGAGTACAGGTATGGAAAGTACAATTTTATTATATAAACTGGAGCAATCTTCCAATGAATTTATGGTGGTCTGTCCCATTTTCTGCCCATTTTCTCCCACTTTTCACTTTGGGTTGGCTCAAGCAATTGTACTTGCAGTGTGAATCCCTTTCACACCTTTCCTGAGTGTACGCATTGACGATTTGGAAGGAGCACAGGATTCTACCGACAGATCCTGACTTGCGCATTGAGCAGAAGATGTGAAAGAGTATTTATGCTCAGAATGCACAGAGGTTGGGAACAGGATTGGCAGGTGCAATCCAGTCCACATGTTTGGTAAAGAATTGGAGAAAAAGTGTGAAAAGGAACATCGTTTACCCAATGAGAGTTAAGTAGTAGGATGGATTGTACCATTGTGCAGATGGGGGTTTATAAGAAGCAGACTGCTGGAAGCTTTCTCCTGATTGAATAGTATTTTTACTTGCAGTGAGGGTTGTTTTTTTTCTTAATCATAAAAAAATGGCAGTCTGTAGTGCTACAAGGCGGCTCCTTTTGTTGTTGGCACCCAACTTTCTCGAAAGACAATGTTGTGCACCTCTGGGGGTGAAGTCAAACTGCTGCATTGGCAGCACCAAAGGTGCAAGCCTGGACAGTATGTTGGTCCCCACCCTGCACTCATCTTGGGGCCTCTCCAGTATTATGCACATGTTTTTGGCACGATAAAAGTGCATTGCTGGGTTTCTTTTGCTTTAGTCCCCCCCTCCGCCCGCCCCAATGCTACCACCTCATTGATATCTGAATGGACTAACTCACAACAAAAGTGGAACAAAGAATAAGCCAGAACATTTGAGTCCCTTCAGATGTCTTTTTCATTTCACATTCATGTTGATTGGTGCTCACGATACTTTTGGCACAGTCGCATTTCGCCTTTTCAATACTGTTTGCACCTGCAACTGTTGTGGGGTAGTCACACTGCTTCATTTCCAATCAGTATCTCTGGTAGCTTACTGCTGAAAACCCTTAATTTTTTATATATGGGCGTAGCCAGAATTTATTGGGGGGGGGAGGCTTTCTGTTAGGAGGGCAGAACCGAGTTTTCTGTGATGCAATTGGTCAGTTAAGTATTTTTCTTTATTTTCTTGATGGGGGGCAGCTGCGACACCCATGTTTTTTATACCACAAATGTTTCTAGTGGGCTGACCATGGGATTGGAAAAAGGGAAAGAGAATAGAGACTCTCCTAAAAATAAAATTGCGAGTTTCACTCTGAGATAATTTAAGTGAGAAATGCGCAGGCCAGGACTGCTCCTCCCATTAGGCTGAGTGAGGCGGCTGCTACCTGAGGCAGGTAATTGTGTGTGGGTCATGAAATGGCAGGAAATCGTAATTTAACTAATCGTTACCAATAGGGAGAAGTGAGAGACGGACTTGTGGTATTTTGTTCAGAGGGGGAAAATCGAGTGCAACCTTTAAAAAATATTTATTTTGCCTCAGACGGTGTGCTACCATAGGTTCTTCTTTTTTTAAAAAAAAAAAAAAGTCGGATACAGCTTCCTGAGGCGGCAGGTGCAGCCGATCCGCTGGAAGAGAAAGAAAGGACTGCACCACTTCAGACTGCACGGGGGGCGGCGGGATCTTTTGGAAGTTTCCCCCGCTTCATATAAAACTTCCCTGCAAACAGAAAACCGGCCTAGCGGGGTTAGAACGTTTCTGCTTCTGTGGTGGTTTATTATTATTACTATTGCTAGGGAAATGTGGCATGTTTTGTTTGAAAGCGTGTACTGTGATACCCCCCAACCCCTTTCCCGCCGCCTGAAGTTTAATCCGCTTGGGGGGGGGGGCGGGTTGGCGTTCCCGCGTGCAGACGCGAGACAGGGAGCGAAGGCGGCGGGTGCCTTTTCTTTAGGTCTGGCGCAGGTTCCATAAGACGCGATGTTTATTAACTGCATAGAACTTTCTTTGGGCCCGTCCCGGTCCTGTCGTGTTTCTCGTCGCCGCCTCACCTTTCCCTCTTTCTCCCTCTTTCAGGGAGGGAGTGAGGAGAAAGAATGGGGGGGGGGGAGCGGCGGTTTGGGAAAGTAGGAAATGCTGGGTGGTTGTAAGAGAGAAATTGGCGGAAGGGGAACATCTTGAGGTTGGGCTAAAGGGGACCCGGGTGGGGAAAGACAACGGCAGAACCAAAAGGTGGGAACCTGAGGTAATTTAGGCGGGAAACGGGGCGGCCTTGAGGGAAGGCGATCAAGTCACGCGACTGGTTTGGTGGTTAGAGCGCCAGGCTGGGGGTGAGGAGAGGCCGCGGTTCGAATTACCGCCCCCAACAATGAAACTGACGGGGGGGGGGTTGAGTCACACCCCCCCGCCCCACCTCATAGGTCTCTCCCCAGGGAAGTTCGCCTGGCACCTTCATTATACACCTTTAGGCGCCAGGCAAAAAACGTTCCTTTTTAACCAGGCCTTTGGTTGATCTTAATGACATCCTATGCCCGTTTAAAATGTTTATTTGTGTGTGGGGGGGTATTGGGTTGCAGTTTTTATTTTTATTAAGTATTTTGTGGTTTTATATATTGATTTTATTCTGTGAACCGCCCTGAGACCCCTGGGTAAAATTAATAATAGGACTGTTTGGTTGGTTTGTCTTTATCCGTGGATGACAAAGGTGTATGTATAACGTCTCTGTTTTCAGTTCAGGGTCAGTTACATTTTGTGTGAAACGTGGCTATCATAGGCATTGTGAGTTTGAGGGGTAGATTTCCTCCTTTTGTATAGTGGGGGGTTTTTGTGTCAGCATCACGTGGACAGATTCTCCACCTATCCATTTATTGGTTTGTTGGTGAGAGAGATTGGGGAGCCTAGGGCATGGTTTTATTCATTCATTCATTCATTCATTCATTTGATTGGTTGGTTGATTTATATACTGCCCTGTACCCGGAGGTCTCAGGGCGGTTCACAGAACAAAATCAAAATATAAAACCACAGAATATATAATCAAAATAAAAACAATAACCCTGAAGGTTGGTTGCCTTTGCTTGATTGCAGTGAGGTTGGTGGGGGGGGGGTTGCAGGGCTGTTGTGACTGGGGGGGGGGTTAGAATGGGAGGAGAACCCTATGTGCCATGCATGCACTTTGAATAAATAATAAACCTTGGGCTTGAAGGGAAGGTGGAGCAGAAAAGTTTGGTAAGTGAAGAAAAGCGGGAGGAGGTTGTTGGTTGTGCTCTTGTGGCTGAGTGAAGCAGCCTTTGAGGCTGCAATTCTAAAACACACCCGGGTGTGGTAAGCGTCATTGTACAAAGTGGATTGTACTATCGGGAGCTAGAACAAGGTGCTCCAAAATGGGAGAGGAGGAAAGGGAGACGAACAGTATGCTGTCAAAAACAGTAGTATTCTTAGATTATTGAATCCCTAATTGTTTATCTTTGACTGGGGTTTTCTTTCTCCAGTAGCCCAACCACACCTTGAACTTGGTACAAGTAATAATTGGTTAGAAACCATGCACAAAATCTTAGAAATACATAATAGATCTAACAGTGTGTACCAGCAGTTGCACCTCAAATGATGTTGAAACACGGAGAAAGGCTCCCTATAGAGCCGGGGGGGGGGGGCTGACATTTTCAGGCTCAAGGGCCACATTTGCCCTTGGCCAACCCCCTGGGGGATGCATGTCAGCAATATGTGTGGCCATCTTGCACTTTCACATGCTCACACATACAGGGAGACAACGAGCAAGCTGTCTCCCCTTCTCAGCTACTCTGTGCAGGTCAACTGAGGGGGAGGGGGTCACATCTGCATTCATCAAATGATCAGGGAGAAGATTTACGTCCCCATCACCCCAGCACTGTCTGCTTTAGTTTCCTTTCTCCTGCCTCTGCCAAAACTAGTGGGAGCTTGGTTGAGGTTCAGAATAATTTGTTTGGGGGTACTGGATCAGACCCATGCTGTAAAGATTGAAATATGCAGTCATCTTCATGTAAGAGGAGATGACCACTTAGATATGCTGATTCTACAAGATATGTGATTTAAATGTAAAAACAAGTTATTTGAATTGGGCCTGGAAACAAATTGGGAGCCAAAGAACTTCATGTAGCACAACTGGTCTAGCAGAATTATTTAAACGTTAATAGCTCATTCAAAAATTGTTCTTGGAGATATTTTACAATAATTATTCACTGTAGCTTACGTAGTCAAATGAGGTTTAACTTCAAAATGTGTGAAAGCTTTGTAAAAATATTCTGCAGACATGTATTGACTTCTCAATAGCAGATAAAAGATAAAATAGTATCTTGGTATCTTATTTTCCCTATATTAAATTCATACTATGTTTTATGTGGTGAATTAAAACAAAAAAATATGTTTTATGGCAGTTACTCTGATTATGGCACCATCAGGAAGAAAATCTGCAGCAAAAACTGCTAAATTGGCACAGGAAGATCCAATTGTTCATGCCTACGACTTTGAAGAACATACAAAAAAACATCTGAGTGGCTCTGAAGAGGATGTTAGAGAAGGTGTAGTAATCAGTACAAAATGTTACACGCATTTTGTTTTGTTGCACTCCTAATACAAATAGGCTAAGTCATCCTTTTTCTCACAATAGTATAAGGGGGGCACACACCCCCCCAAAATTCTATCAAATAGGACTGCTGAATAACCTGACTTTTGGCATTTGCCTAAGGCTGTCTTCACAACAGCAAATTTCTTTGTGAAATGGAAGAAGTTTACTCCTCATTAGGTGACCATGCAATTGGCAGAGAAGGATTCAAACCTGCTGCTTCATTCAGCAGGTGAAGTTCTTTCTTGAAAGTGGATTCCACTTGAGGGATTGGGAGGAGATAGTCTGGCATTCTCAGCAGTCATAGAGAATGGAACATAATGTAGCTTCTCAGCTCTTTGTTGGAGCCAAGCATTCAGAGCATATTACACTTTTGTACCAGTTGCTCTGATTTCCAGTACAATCCTAGGGCCAATTTAAAGTGCTGGTGTTGAACTTAAAAAACTCTGAATGGCTTAGGCAGGCTTGCCTAAAACTAGAATGGGAAAAAGGTAGATCAGAATCTACTGGCAGATCTCGATGATTGATAAGAACTTCTGATTCCCAATTGTTTAATGGTTAGCATATTGGATTAGGACCTCGGAGACAAGGGTTCAGCTACCAACCTCACTTGGGAGGGTCACCGTCTTTCAGCCTAACAGAGTTGCTGTAAAGTTAAAATGGTAATTGGGAAAACGATTTGAGGTCATTGGAGAAAAGCTAGATATAAATGTAATAATAAAATAAACGAACAACAAACTGAGAACTCTCCCCCCCCACTCCAATATACTGTTGAAATGAAGAAAGTGTATGTAAAAAGGTAAAGGTACCCCTGACTGTTAGGTCCAGTCATGGACCAGGGAGCCGGCGTTTGTCCACAGACAGCGTCTGGGTCATGTGGCCAGCATGACTAAGCCGCTTCTGGCAAACTAGAGCAGTGCACGGAAACGCTGTTTACCTTCCCGCCTATTTATCTACTTGCACTTGATGTGCTTTAGGCAGCGGTTAACAAGGGGGGTATTCTTTGTGGGGAAGGACCATGAATTTGGTTAATTTCTGGTACTCAAAACAAATTCCTGAATGCAGAAGAACATAAGAATAGCCTGCCAGATCAGGTCAATGGCCCATTTAGTCCAGCACTGTATTCTCTCGGTGGCCAACCTAGATGCCTGTGGGTAACCTGCAAGCAGCACTTGAGCTCAGGAGCACCCTCCCCTCCTGTGATTTCCAGCAACTGGTATTCAGAAGCATTGCTGTCTCCCTTTTCAATATATGTCTTTACACCAAGTTCTGGTTGGTGGATCTTTGAATACTAGTAAAAAAAACAAAGCCTGAGATCTGCTTGGATCCATAGCAACTTGCTTGTACCTTAAGATCTGCCTCTGAAGCTCTAATTAGGTGCCTATTTATATTGGAAATAAGATTGGCAGGCAGGCAGACAAGGGTATTCTTGCTCATGGCCCCCAGGTGTGGAAGGTGATTTCATGGGACATCACACAGAGCCCATCCCTTCCAGGTTTTAAACAGGCTATTTTTTACTGTGGCCTTTATCAGTTAAGTTGAGCTGAGTGCAAAACTAATATTTTCACCTAATTTTGATAATTTTATATTATGCTGGGGTAGTGATGGTCCTCTTGATTTTTAGTTCTCACATATTGTTTTGAGATTTTTGTGGTGTTTTATATGGTTTTAAATAATATTTTTTTGTAACTTGTAAATTGCTTTTTGAAGAATTTTCATTTAAAAGTGGTATATGGGATTTAAAACTTTTTAATGTGATAGAAGTTATTGGTAAACTGCACCTTCTGTTTCCCTCCCATAAAGATGAAACTCCAATAATTGATAAACATGGTAAGAAAAGACCTTCACTGACTCCTCGTCCTGTAGTTGAAGATGAAGTTGGGTAAATAGTTTAATATTTATTTTTTGCCATGTAATGTTAAATTATTTTTTACAGTTATAAAGTATCAGTTACGTTTCCAGTGCCTCTTCGTTACGATTATTGTAGCCAGAAGTATATATTACTTTTACGTTGTTAAAACACAGCACCTTTACATAGGAACGTAACTAAAAATTTGTTGGCTGTAGATCAGAGCTGGATAACCTGTGGCCCTTTAGATGTTGTTGGACCAGGTCCCACCAGCCTCAGCCAGCATGGCAAATAGTCAGGGATAATGGGAATTGTAGGCCTACAACATCTGAAGTGGTTAGATACTGGTGTGGATCCAAAGCTTCTCTTCTTCCAAAAGTACGGTAAGTAGCTTACTCTGATATAAGGTGCTTACCCTGTTGGAGGAAACCTCTTCCATTGGAGGAAGAGAACCTTTGAATCTAGCCCACTTTAATTAATTAAGGATAATTCAGTTGCCCTCTTCTCAAAAATTATTACAGAATAGAGAGGCAAGGGAGTTCTGAAGTTAACAAAGACTACTAGGGAGCAAGTTCTAATGAACATTGTGGGATTTCTGAGTAGACGTGGAAAGGATTGCACTGTTCTTCACACATTAAGTTACATCCAAACCACCATCAAATCCCCAATAGATCAACTCATAATGCAATAGAAGCCCATGTAAACCATGTTATAAATGTAAACCAATTTTACAGCATAATTCTAAACATATTTACTCAGAAGTTGGGTGCACTGAATTCTATGAGAATTATTCCACAGTAAATGTGTTTAGGATTGCAGTCTTAAATATGTTTCAACTGCCATGGTTTCCAAGAATCCTAGGAACGTTAGCATCTCTGACAGAATTTTCAGCAGACTCATTAAGCTTATAATTACAAATGACAGCTTTCAACATAAGATGTTTTAAACTACTGAGTCATAAACAGAAGGTTATGCCCTTTGTTGATTATATATTTCTTGATGGGCAAAATCTTGGCAATATAATTTAATTGAGTGTCTCCATCCTGTTGTGGTTTACATTCCCCCCCCATAGATGCCCCAAAGATTACACCCCTTCACAGTGCTGATTTCCCCCCCTCCCTTTGTCACAAGGCTTTTAGTAGTGTTAATTATTGTTGGTCTCTGTTGCAGCTTGCTACCACTTACAAATAATATCTGAAAAATATAAACTAGTTCTTTTAATGCAAAAAAGTCATTTTAAAAATATGAATATTTTTATAGGGGAGAAGTACAGAATATGCTGGAAAGATTCGGAGGTATGTTTTAGAAAATACTTACATCCTGTCAGTTAATAAAATAGTTATATGGGAGAAGGGTCCTGCCCTTTTGTTTAAAAATACAGGATTGTTTCCAAGTAAGTTCTGCTCAGAGTAGACCAGTGAAATAAATGGATATGGCTAGCTTTAATTTTAATGGCTCTAACCTGGAAACAACTTAGTTGGATATAAACCAGTTTTTAAAATAAATTTTCTCTTTTTAGTCATATGAACAAATTAACAATTTACATTCCAAACATTATTTCCTGTAGTATGATGGCAGGAGTGCAGTTTTGTCATCTGTAGTACTTAAATAGATTGATCAATTGATTACATCAGAGTTGCAATAACTTTGCCAAAGCAGATGTGCCAATGCAAACTTCAAGATTAGGTTGCAGGTTATCCATGCCTGCTCAGAAAAAAATTACTTAGAAATTTCTATGTCTTTGCTCTGGGTTTCACTCTCATGTGAAGCAAATTCTACTAAAATAGACTGGCGAGCGCAAAATGTGATGGAACATGGCCTTCATTAATCTGTTAGACATTACTGGCAAGATTCCTTCTTGTCTGTGTCCATATCAGTCGTCTCCATAGCAAGAACCTAGCTCTTCTCCACTTTCTGTAATGAAGGGTGGTAGTTAACAAAGGATGATGAAAAAAGACTTCTTAGTTTGTCCCAATGCCTGCTCAAGGACTGCAATGCTTCTTTGATCTAATCAACTGACTTAAAAAGTATCCCAATTAACTGAGGAGCAGTTTTTAAAAATAAAAAAATATATTTTAATACAAGTGCTTATAAAAGCTACTGTATGGCAAGAAACAGCTTAAAACATAATCTCCCTTTGGCATGCTTATTTCTTCTGAAATGATGGCAGCTACAACACATGCACATAATCTAAAAACAAATGTGTTTCTTCCTTCAGCTGTGTTTTTGCCCATATGCAGATTTAATCAATCTATTGACTAAAGTGCATATAACTGATCAACTAAACTTTCTCTAATGAGGTTTCAGTCCTGTTAAGGACACAGCATGGCTACAGCATATCCAATTTGAGCATGGGCCACAAGCTTTCTCAAAGCCATCTTGAACTTCATGAAGTTTTGGAATATGTCTGCAAATCATGGAGCATGAGTAATACTGTACTTAACAGTGAAGAAAGGCAACTGCTTAACCAATGCTGTATTTTGCTCCTTTGATATTCTACTGTCTCTTATTAGAGTTCTCTCTAAAGTTTTAGCCTCAAAAGGTATCATGTTTTACAAAAGCACCTGCCTGGATTGCTTGGTTATGGGCTTGCTTGAAAGGGGCTTCACGTAAGAAGTATCCAAATCTTTGGGCAGACTGGATTGTGCCAGCCAGCTTCCGCTTAGTTTCTGTGTTTATTGTGGGGTGTTAAAAGTGACCTTATTGTTGATGGCAAAATACTTTACTGATAGATCAACACACTATAAAAGCTGCCATATAAACACTGTAATTTTAATACAGCTTATACTAGATTCAAAATCAGTTTGAGAAGAGGTCCCTGAATTCATGCATTAATTACTGTAGCCACTACTGTAGCCTAACGCTGCAACAGCCCTCCTGGTGTAGTGTGTGAGACATTCTAGCCTTTCTTTGCAAATCTTATAAACCTTTACATATGTTTTAAGATACAATGCCTAATGATTCTTTGTCTTTCTGCAGCGGACATTAACAAAGCTCTTCTAGCTAAAAGGAAAAGATTAGAGATGTACACGAAAGCTTCTCTCAAAACAAGCAACCAGAAAATAGAACACGTTTGGAAAACACAACAAGAGCAAAGGTGGGGGTTATAATTAACACGAACATACATTGCACATTTGTGGCAGAGATTCAACCTGTGGCCCTCAGTCTGATTCCATGTAGGTAGGGAGAGCCAACAGGCAGAAAAGCCAAAATGGATGAAAGCAATAATATATGCAAGCGATCAGATCAGACTTGGGAAGAGCAATCTATCTTTCCCTCTCTTAGCAGCATGTTAAACAGGGGAAGAGAGAAATGGGGGTGCCAGAGAGAGGGTGGCCCTGCTCACTATTGGCTCTGTTCCTGCCCACGAGCAACATGTGGCCCCCCCAACAAGTTGTACCCCTCCCCTGGAAATGTGACACTAGACCAAAAAAGGATTTCCATCCTGGACTTAGTGTCTGAGTTTTGATTGTCTGTCTGGATATGATTTCCTGGTAATTTACTATAGTAAAGGAGTTGGTTCCTAATCAGAATATGTCATTTTAGAAAGCAAATTCTTTAAAATAACATTTAAGTTACATTCTTAAAGGTAAAGGGACCCCTGACCTCTTACACTATTTATTTGGAAGTTCACCTCACTGAACATAATTGGGCTTACTTGAAGTAAACATGCATACGATTGCATTGTAAACCTTCTTTAGAACAATACTCTTCAATGTTCTATGGTGTGTTTTTTTCCAAATTAGATGGCCACCTTTCACCTTAGCTGTGTTCTCTCAAATCTACCAACTCTTCCTTTTTTAAAGTTTGTGTGACTAACTGAATGTTTTAGGTTCTTCATCTTTCACCGATGCCTTTACAGTTTATAAATCAATGGTATTTCATGTTAACATTCAAAAATGCATTATTTCAGCTTGCAAAATATATATTTTAGGCAGAAGGTCCAACACGAATATTCTCAGCAGTTCCTGCATGTATTTCAACAGTGGGATGCTGATATAAAGAAATCTGAGGAACAGGAAGAAAAATTAACGGTTTGTTTTTCTTAACTTTTTGAATGATAAATGTAAGTGCCTAAGGCTGATATTTCATTCTCCTTATACTGCAGTGTGGAATGTTACCATTCACAAAACAGACAGGTAATGTTCAGGGTTCCTAGCTTTAGGAAAACAATATGCTCACGTAGGGTGAAGGAGATCTAAGTAAATGAGCAGAGTCCAAGTGCTGATCAGTAATAGCATCTCAGATATTAGGTCAAAAGATAATGTTACGCCATAGTTAGTAGAGCCAGTGTTTCTGCACTGTGATCAATTTGTTCATTAAATAAATATACACTGGATAAGCTTGCAGTGGTAAGCAACAACAATACGTTCAGTGGAAGATAAGCATTCAGTTACTACTATAAGTTGCCCATTCTTTATGGCAGCATATAAATTTAAATAAATAGCAAGTGAAAGAAAAAACCTTGCCATTGGAAACTGACATGTAAAAACTATACACCATTTTCTTAGAATTTCTTTCTTTTTTTGTTCATTCACTGACTTGCATGCCCCTGAAAACCCTATATGAATTTACAGCAAAGGCTTAGAAATTAATTTAAGAATATATATACACACATACACTTAGGGTAATAACTGATGGCTGGTACCTACTGGGAGTAGTTGAGTGGAAATAAAGGAAACCAACAGTAGGTGGACCTAGAGCAAACTAATTCTAGTTTTGTCCCTAACCTTTTCCTTTCTGAATCCTACACAGGCCAGGGTGCAGCAGCAGCAGTCACTGGCAGTGTTACCCATGGACTGGATGTAGGCAAGGCAGATGGGGCAAACTGAAGTTGGTGAGGCAGTGCCCCATTTGTCCTAGCATACCAGCTTCCACTGCATTTGGCTATGCTTACAGTTTACAATTAGTAACAGTGTGATTTAGCTTTATTATATGAATATTTATTCCTACATTTATTATAGCCTCTTTTTCCTTCCCTAGAACCTGTTTCGGCAACAACAAAAAACTTTCCAACAAGCAAGAATAGTTCAGAATCAAAGACTGAAAACAATTAAGCAGCTGTATGAGCAATTTTTGAAGGTATATTAAAAAACAACCACCATTTGATCAAGTCTGTTATTAAAAGTGCATTGTTATTTTAGTTTACAGTATATTAAAACAAAGGTTGTGTGAGAAGGCAGCTTCCACCACTGGTTTTCTCTTCCCCTCCTTCTACCTACATCTCCCCAAACCTCTTTCCAGAGGGTCTAGATGCCCTTCTGCACAGTGGGGTCTGTCTCATACAGGCCTGTGATGGGCCAGGAGGATTTGCCTGAAATTTCACCAGCTTTCTTAGAGGGTTTTTGGAGGGTACAGAAGGAAGGGAAGAAAAAGAAAACCTGTTGCATGAGCTCCTTTCTGCTCATAGAACTGCTGGATACAAACAGAAATCCTGTGCTGTCCCTGCTGCTAATATGGCAAGATCTGCAGTGGCATACTAGCTATACATTTATGTTTAAAAATAATTGCAACTACTACTTAAACTTTAACTTCATGTTGCATCCATTCTGCTCTGTTTCCACTTGATTATTTGACACCTAATATGCTTTGCATGAAGAGTAGCATGAGCATCAACTGAATATTGCCCCAGCAGTACTGTTGATCTCCTCTGTGATGAGAGACAGCATGGCTACATCTTATTTTCATAGTTGGACAAAACACACATATACAGTGGTACTTAATTCGTCCCAGAGGTCCGTTCTTAACCTGAGGCATGCTTTTGCTAATGGGGGCCTGCTGCACCGCTGGCACGCAATTTCCGTTCTTATCCTGGGGCAAAGTTCTTAACCTGGAGCAACCACTTCCTGGTTAGCAGAGTTTGTAACCCAAAGCGTCTGTAACCCGAGGTACCACTGTAATGCTAACCTTGTCAAGCCTTTACATTTACGTTTGTACATGCACATGTGTTAGTAATATCACTGCTTTGTAGACTCCTTTGTCATCTTGCTGGCAATTCCTGTAGGGCAGTTGAACAATATATTGTTTGGATAAGCATTGCAAAGAATAGAACACTATTCCAGATGAATTCTTACCAGTTAGCATAATTACTTCTCAAAATTTTGATGTGTTTAGGCTACTATTGTTGCCATTGCTAGGCACTCTGGTAATTCATGGCCATTCCTTGACTTCTAAAATGTAACAAAATTTCTGGGTGTAAACAAGTAACAGATTTTCATGAAGCTGCTATCTGATTTTAGAGTATGGAAGACATGGAGAAGACTCATGAAAGTCTTTTAGTAGGTGCACAAAATGAGCTTCGGAAAGAGATGGCTATGTTGCAAAAGAAGATCATGATGGACACTGTAAGTGTTAATACTGATTTATGGAAAATTTCAGTGACATTTTAAAACAACATTTAAATAGAAAAATTAAACATTTACCATTTATATTCAGCAAGTCAGAACACTATGATACAAAATGTTACATTTGATCAGCATTTTTTTCTCTCTTAACAGCAACAGCAAGAGATGGCAACTGTTCGCAAATCTCTTCAGTCCATGTTATTCTGATGGCTCAGTGGAGAAACAACTTGTACCTAAGTAACATGATACAATTATATACATTAGCCATATGGGGAGGAAGAGCCAGTATTTTAAACGCCATATTAAAAATTGCTATATTTGAATACCTTACATTCAGCTCTGATATCAAAGAAACCGACAGCTCATTGCTTCTTAGCAACAGGATATGCTAATTTTATTTTTTTCCTGTGTCTCTCAAAGTATTCCTAATGGTTTTTAATTTGCATCAATATTTTTTCGCCTCTTAAATTCAGAATCTAGATCCCAGGGTTAAGGTACCTTTTTGAAAGTTCAAGCTACTTAATGTTATTTAACTGTCTGACAGACTGTTTTTGTACCAAACACTCTGATAATAACAAATTGCATGTACTATGGGATTCAAGGCCTTATTAAAAATTGTGTACTTGCAGCAGAACTATATAAAATGTTTCAGGTTGCTACCAAAGAAACATTTCATTCTTATATAACAACCAGAGTAATATGTCTTAATCTGAAAGTTGAAGGAGATGCATAAGAACTTCCTTATGATTATAAAATAAAATATACATGTTGCTAGTTTGGGATTTCCTTTATTATAAGGCACTCTTAGTAATTTTCCAGTTTCATGGTCTCACCGTAAATAGAATGTTCTTCTTTTTTGAGGGAAGATAGTCTACCAGCCCCTAATATTATCAGTAAATTCTAAATAACTAAACAAAGATAGAGGCTTACACTCTACAGTTCAGGAAACCTAATTAAAAGCAAAATTTAAAAGTATATCAAGCAAGTACCTATCTCCAAAAACTCTAAATGAAATGTTTCTTTCCCCTCCCAAACAGCAAAAACTTCCGTCATTGAGCTTTGTTTTTTTTAAGAAAAATAAAAGCATAATCATATTTTCATACTGTAAAAACACACTGGTAATTCAAGCATTACAAATGAAACAAAATTTTCATTACAGCAACTTAGAATCACAGTTTTTACTGTTTGAAATTTAGCAATAATTTATTTGGTCTTAAACTCTGACATCACTTTAAAGGAATCCAGAACAATTACTACATGCTATAATAATGGCAGCAAACCATTCACCTAGTTTTTGGATAAATGCATGGTTTTATTTAAATGCCAAGGTTTGCCACCATTAATTATCCTAATGCTACTTCATGGAGATTCTTTAGTGCCCATTAGTCAGCATTTAATTTTGAATTTGGTGACATGCTGAAGATCCCTCAGTTTTTTAAGCAGGCTATCAAATTCTGAAGTCTTGTCATTTGTGGGTATTTACTGTTTAGATCTTTTCAGCTAGAAAATAACATGATTAGTTGTTTTGCTGTTAAAGAGATCATCATCACTTGTTTAAAACTGACCCAGGAGAGTAACAGTTTTCTTTCTAGCTAACTGTTCAGTACTTTCCTTTTTAATGGAGAAGACTGGACAACTTTCTTACAGTGAGCTTCTAAGGCACATGTGGGCATCCTGTGGCCCATATGCAGCCATTACAAATGCCCAAACTGCTTCTGAATTTTGCTGGGGGGAGGAAGCACATGTAAATCACATTCTTTGCAGATGATGCACTGAGAGGAACAGAGCTGCAATGGGGAAGAAGGCACATGGGGAGAGGTAGCCCCATAAACTTTCCTTCCCAGTTTACTGGTAGACTTCTTTCGGGATAAAGTTGCCAGGATTCCCCCACCCCCCATTGTTGTTAAACACATAGCCAAGAATCACTTGGGATTGCTTGGATAAAGGAACTGTGTTGTATGAACTAGCTCTAAACACCAAGAAAAAGACAACCCTGAATTTCTTGGAAATAGTCAACCCAGCTTGTCTGATGATAGTACCTACAACTGGTTTTATTGTTACAGAGCATCAAAGCTAAGTTGGGGTTCAGATTGTTTTACGTTCTTCTGAAATACATATATTTATAACTGAATTCAAACTCAAATCTGTTGCCAGTAGAAAGAGATCAGCTCAGTCACTAGATCTATCCACTCCTGTCACTTAGGTGTTTAAAACTTTCTGAGAAGGCTTTGCATTAAGTGAAAATATATGAAACTACACATTTGTCCACAGCTGAGGTTGGCATATTTCTTTCCTCTTAGCTACACAAAAAGACTTGAATGGGAGTTATGGTTCTATTTTTCTGGTCTCACTAAAGCATACGACATCTAGAAGAAAGTGATGAAAGACACACAGTAATCCTCCAGAGACCATCACTGTACAAACTGCTTCCTAAACAAAACAGTTTCTAGACAGGATGATTAAATCCCATATAAAAACAGCACAGCTATATAATACCTAGACATCACTGATAAATTTTACTAAACGAAAATGCAAATTTATTTGTTGCCTGAAATGTCGAAGAACTTATTCTACTACATTTTTAAATGACTTCACATTCTGGTGTATTAAAGAGGTTTTTGTACCCATGAGAGGAATTTATTTTGGGTTGGGGAGAGAAAATTTAATCAATAACACTGCCAAAGGGCACGAGGTGTTAAAAAGCCCTTTCCTCATTCCTGCTCAAACTGCATTTTGTAAAGAAAGAAATTGTTGGAGGAAATGTGTGCTGTATGTGTTTTGGTCTTAGCAGACTGTTTTATCCAGCTTAACATCCTTCGCTCACTCATTTCTTTAAAAATACAGGGTGGAATTCAACATAGCGCTCAGTGGGGTATGTGCATGGGGAACGAGGTCCAATCACACAACAGGACTTTCCTCCAGCTTCTCCGCACCCCCATGCAAGCCTCCAGAGCAGATTTACAGTGCAATGAGGGCAGTGAGGATGTCCTGGTATGCAAGCAAACCTCATTCTGCGCTCAATAACAATGTTGAATCCTGCCCACAGGCCAAATTCTTAATAGCAATTCACAAATATTTATACTGTAAGCGAAAGAAGTAAGTGTAATTATGATTCTCCCTGGTCATGCAAAGAATTTAAACGCTTAAGAATTTAAACACTACTGCAAGATAAATTATGCCATAATTTTAACCTTGACAACTAATTTATGGTTAAATTCCTTATTTTTTTTCCTTTAACCAGTATCAGAAACTCTTAAACATAGTTAATATGAAAAACACACTCCTAAGACTTTGATACAAGATGACAACTCAGTAGTTTTAGCCCTTAAATATATAAAAAAAATATTCAACTAAGACTCTAGTTTTCTCCAAAAGCAGTGAAATGTAGAATGGGTAACTTTTGCAGTATTTTACACAATTACTGTCCCTATATAATGAACCAACATCACACTACCTTCTAAGAAATCCATATTTGGCTGTTTCTTACGAGTTCAGTTAGCTGCCAAGTACATTAGGTTTTCAAGCATTTCTGTCTGCCAAGAGCAAAACAAGTTTCTAAACAATAATTTGCTACTTTGTAGCAAAAACTTCCTTAGACCCTCTACTCCTATGATTTCAAAGTAACAATTACAGTAAGTCCCAACAGAGCCTGTAGGAACTTGGTATTATATAATTAATTTCATTTAACCTCTCATGCACTTAAGTTCTCTTTGAAAATTTGCACAACTGCATTGCTGAAAAGGGTATTTTCCACCATTCAACACTTTCCCCACCCCCAACCAACTCCTCCTCTTCGCTTTCAGCTATAAGTCACTCATTATGGTTTTGAACCTGTTCAGGAGCTTGATGAGTTGAGATTTTGAAGACGTGTATGTGAAGGTGAGCTGCAATCTGTTTGCATAACCCAGTGGAGTATCTCAGTAAATCAATCAAGGATGTGAACTAAAGAGGGAGAAAAAAGTTCAGAGCTTAAGATCAAAACATGTGTTGCACAAATGAATTATTCTGTGCTTAAATTCCCTCTCGCTCTTCAAGGCACACAGATAAAGTTATAACAGAAGCATACACCTTAATTCTACAATTGTTAAAACGTTCTAGTTAGATCTGCAGTTCAGAGTTTACATGCATTCACACCGAAATACAGAAATTTAAATTAAATTTAAATTAACTTCTGAAGATGAAGCCATTCACCCCAGTGCATTCACCGACTTATCATCATCATCATCATCATCATCATCCCTACTATAATACACAGCCAGGATTCTTGGCCTGGATAGGGTGGGCCAAAGGAGAGTGGACAAAAGGAGAAGAAAATAGGTCAAAAAAGTCATTGCTGCCTTTCTTCCTAATTTAATACTGAATTAAGAAATACAGGGGATATCTGGTTTGTAGTCCGGCAATCATATCTAATCAATAAAACATGTAGTTTTGTTTCTTCCCTATGATGCAACTTTCTTTAGCAGTCTGAATTTAATAGTCAATTTCATTCCAACAAAACCCACAAATGTGCAAGGAGTAGATTTGTGCATGCAATAAATTGGTAACCAGCTCTTTAGGTTTTAAAAAAATTATGACTTTTTTTTTTTGCAATTCTTACAAACACGCTGTAAGATAAGCAATTGGAATCTCATTGCAAAGAGGGAGCTGAGACAAAAGACTTTTCTAAGGTCACCTAGTGGGCTCATGGCAGAAGTAAGATTTGAATGAGGGACTTCCCAATTGAAACTTGATCTCAACTTCTCCTTTACCACCAGAACACTGTCCAACACAACTAAAAGCAGGTATACCTCTCAGCTGGATTGCTACCTTAATCTGTTTGGAATACAAGGCTGGAGAGTCTGACTCAAACACCCAGAAAGGAGAAAACACTTTCCATAATTTAGTGAAGCATATAGAAAACTGCTTACCAGTGCTATCCACAGAATGATATATTCATCGATAAAACTGTTGAAGTACTGGTCTAGAAACAAGAGGCCAGGCCCAATAAATGCAGTATCTTGTAGGAAGATTTCACTTTTGGTCATGTGTGCAATCTATGAACAAAGATTAGATTTAGTTACTAAACTAAGATGTTTAGATCCTATTTTAACACAATACAAATTGTTCATCTCTTAAGTCAGTACCTGAACCCATCTGAATATTCAAGGATTCAAAGAAATTTATAAGCAGCATAATGATTAAGGATATGTTTTGTTTCCAGACATGTGGTTTCTTAATTACAAACATTTAAGAGAACTATAAAGGCTTAGACATAAGGAATGCTCAGGGCAGAATATTAGCTGTAATGGGTAACTAGTAATCTTCATTAGTAATCTTCATTGGTGTCTGTCATTAATTGAAACATACTTGTATGAATGGAATGGACCTTTTCCTTCCACATGCCCTCAAATATGCTCCAGAGGATTGGGGGTACCCGCCACAGTAGATTTAGAGGCCACGGGATGGGAGAGCAAGGGGACATCCTGCTGCACAAGCAAATTTTCATCTATGTGATGTTGGCTATCATCCAATACGTTTTGCAAAAGAACTTGCAGCACAATTCTGTCCATGTTTATATTGAAGTTAATCTCTGTCCAATGAGTCTCCTTATTAGTACAGGACAGCAGCCTTAAGGTCAGAGCTGAAGCTCCATGTCAGCAATTGCCTATATTGAAAATGGCATCAGCAAAGAAATACTGTGTAATGATTACCTGACCTTGCAACAAATGTTGAATCACTTTAAAACTAAGAAACCATTTTGTCATTTCTGTGCTCTTTACACTGAATAAGCTGTA